AAGTAGAAACTAGAATAGTCCCTAAATCTGATTGATGCTGTTATCTATATCTTTTAAAGAATCAAAATGAAAACATAGACTACCTTGAGTTGAAAGATACTTTTAAATATAGTGTATCTTGGGCTCTCAATTTTTATTATGTTAAAATAAAATTCTTACTCATGAGTGAAACTCTTAATCAAGGGCTATGATTTTTTTTAAGAGGTGAAAGAACATTATCTACATATATCTATATATAGATATATTAAATATTTATTTACTTGAAAGAGTCCCAGAGAGAGGGAGGGAGGGAGAGAGAAAGAGTTCTTCTATCTGCTAGTTCACTCCTTAAACATCTGCAACAGACAGAGCTGTGCTGGTCTGAAGCAGGGTGCCAGAAGCTTCTTCTGTGCTGCCCTCCCTGATGGGTCCAGGGCCGTAGGCCTCTGAGCTGTTCTCTATTGCTTTCCCAGGCCATTGTTGATATGGAAGTGGAGTGGCCAGACTTGAACTGCCACCCATATAGATTCTGTTGCTGAGGAGACAGAGGATTAACCCATTATGCCACAGTACAAGCCCCAGAACAGGGTTCATTAAAAACAACAATAACAACAAAAAACCTATTTGAATGTCAAAAAAGGAGAGACAGATACAGAATGAGTAACTCCCTGTCTGCTAATGTACCTCCCAAGTGGCAAAAATGGCCAAGATAGAGCCAGGCAAGGAGTCAGGAGCTTCTTGCTGATCTCCCATGCTGGTGGCAAGGGTCCAAGCTCTTGGGCCAGGTTCTGCTTTTCCCCTGACAATTAGTGAGGAACAGAATCGAAGTGCATCAGGCTGGACTCAAACGAATGCCCATATAGGATGCTTGATTTATATGTCGTAGCTTAACTCATTATGCCACAACCCAGTCTCAGAAATTGGATTTATTGAAAGGCAGAAGGATAGAGCACACTCAAACTTAAGCACAGGCAACCAGGAGAGAATGTGTTAACCCCTGATCTTTTTTTTTTTTTTTTTAGAATTTTTTTTTTTTAAGATTTATTTTTATTGGAAAGTCAGATATACAGAAAGGAGGAGAGACAGAGAGGAAGATCATCCCTCTGTTGATTTGCTCCCCTAGTAACCACAGTGGCCGGAGTTGTGCTAATTTGAAGCAAGGAGCATGGAGCCTCTTCCAGGTCTCCTACACAGTTGCAGGGTCCCAAGGCTTTGGGCCATCCTCTACTACTTTCCCAGGCCACCATCAGGGAGCTGGATGGGAAGCAGGGCTTCCCAAATTAGAACAGGCATCCATATGGGATCCCAGTGTGTGCAAGGGGAGGACTTTAGCTACTAGGCCATGCCGCCAGGCCCTTCCAGTCTGAATTGTTACAATGCAAGTTAAATACTCATTTGGTCCTGATAACGTAGTTAAGACATTTAAAATTATTTTAGATTGATGGATTAAGTTACTTTGCTTTTTTTTTTAAGGTTTATTTCTTTTTATTGGAATGTTAGATACACAGAGAGGAGGAGAGACAGAGAGGAAGATCTTCCATCTGTTGTTTCACTCCTCAAGTGACCAAAACGGCCGGTGCTGCACCGATTCAAAGCCAGGATCCAGGAACTTCCTCCAGGTCTCCCATGCAGGTGCAGGGTCCCAAGGCTTTGGGCTGTCCTCTACACTTTACCAGACCACAAGCAGGGAGCTGGATGGGAAGTGGAGCTGCAGGGATTAGAACCAGTGACCATATGGGATCCCGGCATATAGAAAGTGAGGACTTTAGCTACGAGGCTATCACACTGGGGCCTTACTTTGGTGTTTGATCACATAATTTTGGTCTGTCTTTGGCCATATGATTACAGGAAGATTTATATGTTCTTAAATTTTTTTGTAATTCTCAGATCATTCCTTATTTTTGATTAAATGCAGTCATATGCTATATGATGATTTTTCCATCAGGAATATTTTGTGTATGTACCAGTATCCCCTTAAGGTTGTAGTGGTACCGAGAAGTTGCTGTTGCCTAGTGTTTTTACTGTCGTTTTGCTGTTTAGATGCATAAACACTGTTGTATTCCAGGTGCCTACTTGACTCAGTTCCAGTAATATTCTGTGCAGGTTAATATAGGAGTGATATGCTATATAATCTAGATGCATATAAGTACAGTCATCATCATATAGTCATGTGCTTCATAACAGTGCTTCAGTCAGTAGGGGACTGCATGCATGGCTTTGGTCCTGTAAGGTCTTAGGAGAGTTTAAAAATTCCCGTCACCTAAAAATACCATAGCTTTACCTGTGGAATCTTGTATTACTTGCATGTTTTGTGATAGGTTGGTGTAAACAAGTATGTTGTGCTACCAGTTATATTGAAATATAGTTATTTGCATGTGTGATACTTAATAACGAGTGTTACCATTTTATGTGTTTAGTCCTAATTACATATAAAAGAAGTTTAATGGGTGGCATCAAAGTATAGCAAGTTATACCCGTATCTGCTGTGTCAGTATCCCGCATAGGTACCGGTTCATGTCCCAGCCTCTCCGTTTCTGGCTTCCTGCTAACGGCCAGGGAAAAGCAATGAAATATAGTCCAAATACTTGGATTGCTATATCCTGTGTGGGAGACCCAGATGAGGCTCCTGGCTTTGGGTTGGCTTAGCCCTGGCCCATGCAGTGGCCACTAGGAGACTGAATTAGTGGCTGGAAGATCTGCTATATCTCTCACCCCCATTGCTCTTGACTTTGAAATAAATAAATTAGTATGCTGTCAGTTATGTAGAGGCCACGTGAAGTGGTTGGCCTAAACCACCTAGTTTTGTGTAGATAAATTCTGTCGTTTGCACAATGGCCATGCATTTGTCAGACCATGACTCAGTCATTGTCACTTGCCTTATTTGTTGAACAAGGTAGACAGTTACCCCCTGTCCTAATGCTGAAATAAGATGTAAAGATTTAGCTACATGTAATATTGAATCTGTCTTGAAGGACTTGGGAATTAGGTAATAGTCCCATGTGTGTGGTACTTTGATCCCAAAGTTTTTTAGAGTAAGTTTTAAATGTTTTAATTTTGTGTGATTTAACTGAGAAACACCCAATATGTGTATCCTCTGATGTGTATAGAATGTTTAAAAAGGAAAAAAAAAGTGATAGTTTATTTTTGTTCAGCTCTATTTGTGAGGTTTTTATTTATTTATTTATTTGGGCTCATATTCTGTGTTAGAATTAATTCTGCTGACTTGTTTTGTAAACTTTGAAAGATTTCATGTACTCTATTGAGTTTGAGTTTCCTGACTTCAAAGTAGGTTGACCAGATAAATGTAAGTATTCCATATCTATAGGCTTTACATCCACTGAATTATTGGTTCAAAATGTTCATTAAAGAAGAAATTGTGTCTATAATGAACATATATGAATTTTTTCTTGTAATTCCCTAGATAGTATAATACAATAACTAATATTGTTAGTAGCAATTAAGTCAAACTTAGATTTCTCAGTTTGGCCAGAAAGTCTGGTGGCTTTGTGTGTTACTAGATTTTCATTTTATTTGTAGACTGTTTAGAAGCAGGTTTGTGGCCCTGGATACTTTTGAGTTGCTTTTTCTTACGAACCAGTTCCTGATTCAATTTGTGTTACATTATGGTGGAGGGAAATTGTAAACATATATCTGTTGGATGTGGTGAGGGCGCACATGGTCTGGGAGCAGGCCAAGGGTTTGCTTGGTACCTTTATTTTCCTTTAGCTTTATTTTTTAAATGGTTTCTCTAGTTGGTCTAGTTAGTGAGGGTTGTCAAATTTTCTGTTTCCAAATGCTGCATTTATGTGTGTGTACATGTACACATGCAAATACAAGTATTTAGCCCAGCAGCATCCCATATCAGGGTGCCAGGGTTCAAGCTCTGGTTATTTCATGCTTCCCATCCAGCTTCCTACTGTCCAACTGGAAGTAATGGGTGATGGCCCTAGTATGTGGATTTTTGCCACACTTGTAGGAGATATGAGTGGAGTCCCCAGCTCCTGGCTTTGACTTGCCCGCTTGCAGTTGTCTTGGACATTTGGAGAGTGAAAATCTCCTTGATCTTTCACTCTCGTTCTTGCTCTCTCACTGCCACTCCGCCTTTTAAATAAATGTTTTTTTAAATTTTGTTATGTATTGTTTTCACCATGTGTTCCAAATAAATACCATATTTTAGTCATGATTTCTGCAAACAGTTACTAACAGTGTTGGTTCAAGATCCTGGATATTTTTTCATGCAACTTCATTTTTATAGTTAATTTAGACTTATTTTGCTTAATGAATTGACAAAAGCAATAAAATTCAGGATGTGTAGTCTATTATTAAATGACTGTGGTTTATTTGTTGTTTTTGACCAATATGCTTAATCTCTTCTGTTGTTGCTATTTCTCAAATTGTACAATTTAATTTAAAATTGCTGAATAACTCATTGTCTTGTTCCAATACTGTGTAATTTTTGTCATCCCCACTACTCCAGTTTCCTTGGATATATTTGGTATACATAAAAGCAAAATTATAATACTGTAATACACTAATGTAAGACTACTGGTAAAGCAGGCTGCATGCTTTGGTCAGATAACTGAAACATGTATGTTTATCTCCATGATTCTTAGTCTTACTTGAAGATATGTATACTTCATTTTTTGACCAAGAAGTAGGGGATAGTTATAAAATGAGTGATTCATATATTTTTAAGTATCTTTAATCTAAGATTTTGTAATGATCTAGATTGCTGTGGAAGTTTTTTGTTGCAGACATTTAAAATAATAGGTGAAAAGTATTAGGAAACTTTTAATGGGTAGAAATAATTGTTGAAAATTTTTAATTGTTAAAATAATTTTGATTGTATATGAAAGATAACTTAGGCTGTTGATAAAGCTTTTCATTCATTCAACAAGTACTTACTAAGCATACTGTCTGTATAGTAGAATGGTCGATTCAAGGCTGTCTTAAGTTGTATGATTCTTAAAGTCAAATTCAACTTTGGTAATGTATAGTAACATTTCTTATTTTTATTTTAGATGCCTGGAATGATGTCTTCAGTAATGCCTGGCATGATGATGTCCCATATGTCACAGGCTTCCATGCAGCCTGCTTTACCGGTAATCTTGTGAAAAGAACTATTTTCCATAATGCATTTATGAGTGATTAATTTTATGCATGTATAGATATACAAATAAAACTATATATACATATAAACAACTACTTTATAGATGGTTAGATTAGCTTTTTTTACATTGTCTGCCTGCTGTAATGTGGATGTTACAGTGAACATTTAGTGTTGGTTGCTATCAGTTGAATGGTAGGCAGTAACTTTTTTTCTCTATTTTGGCAAGATAATTCTGTATTAAGCAATAACAGAATACTTAAAAATGTAATTTGTGAATCATAAGCATTTAATTATTCTGGTAACATTATGCTTCCTGTTCTCAATTGGCTTTGTTTTCTAAATCTAGATTATTCCATAATATAGAATAAATATTCCCATTTAACATTTAAATGTGTGGACTCATTATTGAGTGCTAATTGGAGATAGATATGATTTAATATTAGTTTAAGAAATCAGAACATTTAATTTGAAATCTGTACTTTGTAGGATTTAAGCTATGTAGGATTTAAGCTATGGCATTATAGAAACTACCCTTATTGGTTTGTTAGCAATACAGATACAAGATGATTTTTAAATTAGCTCAGTTTCTTTACTACACAGTGGCTGCAATGAGTAGGTGTAGCATACTCCATTGGAGTGATTTGTTTCTGTTGCCTTTTCTAGAACCTTTCTCTCCCTTTTTTTTTAAAATCTTTTTTTTCTTAAGATTTTGAAAAGCAGAATATGAAAGGGAGCGAGAAGGAGAGACAGAGATATCTTCCATCTGCTGGTTCACTATCCAGCAGGCTGTAATGGTCAGAGCTGGGCCAGTCTGAAGCCAGGGGCTTTTCCCCAGGTCTCTTAATATGGGTACAGGGACTCTAGCATTTAGGCCATTTTCCTCTACTTTCCCAAGACATCAATAGGAAGCAGTGTTTAAAAGCCAGGACTGGAACCAGTCTCTGGGGGATTTGATGCTGCAGGCATACGCTTAATGGACTTTGTCTCTGCGCCAACCCCTATATAGCTCTTAAATTAACATACGTTTCGAAATTCTAATATGAGAAAGTAGTATGTTGCCTGTGGGATGTTGGGCAGTGTCTTGTCATTTCTAACTTCATGATAAAATTCATTGTTATTTATAGCAAACTCAGGCAGTGAGATCACTACAACTTTCGCTAAGAATCTTTTTGAGTTAATGACTTGAAAATTATACATAGAGAAACTTATTTATGAGAAATGTGTTTAAAATGTACTTTAAACAAAGATGAATATTACTAATTATATTTTTCTTCTTACAGCCAGGAGTAAATAGTATGGATGTAGCAGCAGGTATGTATACATGAGTGGTGCTGTATACCAGGGTACTTAAGTTCTTGAAAAATGAAATTAAAGGTTAGGTTTATTTTGAATCAAAAATATTTTGAAATCCATGCATATAGGAGGCTTCAAAAGTTCATAGGAAAATGTATATTGGGAATAAACTGCGGGGAATCCAAAATAAACATCTCCCCCACCCTATTTTCTAATAGCTTTTTTGTTTTTAAGAGCTCTGTACCAACTTGATGTACAGATAGACTTGTCATCAGTGTTTTTAAATTTCATAATCATTGCTGCCATTTAAGGTCTAAGTTTTACATGATTGAATATCTGAAATTTTATCTTGAGTATTCAGTGCTTAGAAATTGTCCTGTTAACACAGCTATTTAGAATATTTGTTGAATTATTGAATTCTGTGGAGTCCATATTTGTGTGAGGGGTGTTTGTGATTTGTTACTTTAAAAGGTAGAGCATTAAAGAGAAAGAAATTTTCCATCTGGTGATTTATTCCTAAATGGCTGCCACAGCCACAGCTGGGCCAGGCAAAGTTAGGAGTTGACAACTACGTCTAGATCTCCCACGTGAGGCACAGAAGCCCCAGTGCTTGGGCCATCATCCAATACCCTTCCAGGTTAATTAGCAGAAACAGCAGTGTTTTGATACTGTATGGCTTTAAGTCATGAGTGGCTTGCTGCAGTGCCCCAGACCATATTTTTACTCAGCAAACGGTAGCATAGGGTAGTAACTCCGTATGTGTTAGATGTACCACCAATGTATACTAGTCAGATAGTCTTCTGAATTGTACAGTCTGTTATTCCTTGTCATTTGTAGTCACTGGACCTGTGCACAAACCTTGTTCAAAATTTTTTGCTTTTACCAGTATTTTGCTATTTTGACCCATAAGTTTGAATATAATAAAAGCACTTCAATTATCCATTAGTAATTTCAACATATATTAATATTCCAGATCTTGACCATTAGCGTGATTATACCCAAACGGTATAACTGAAATGTTTACTATAAATATATTGTGTTTTTCATTAACTTTATGTGGGATATAACCTCTCTTTAAGCAACTTTGCAAATTTCATTGTTTGTTTAAATGAAAATAATATTTGGCAATGCGTAACAGCTTTCTTGTTTTTAATTTAGATATCTAGACCTGAGTTACTCCCAAATAACTTTGGAGATTACCTTGAGATTTCTTTTTAATTACTTTTAAAATGCTGTGGCTTTACAGTTGGTGTTCATAGTGGCTTGCTTGGAGTGCTGTTAGTGTATATGGAATTTGCTAGTGCTTTTCTTTTATAATCTTTGTTTTTCATATATATTTTTAATTTAAGCTTCTAAAGTTAGAGATTATTTGTGAGCTTTGGGTGAATAACACATTTCAAAATCCGTGTCTTATAGTATAGGATTGTACCACCTAATACAATTTTCTCTAGTAATGAAAATGTTCTGTGATCTATGTTGTTACATATAGTTACCATTAGCCTTGTGTGCTTACTGAGTGTTTCAAATGTGGCTAGTATAGCTTAAGATATTCAAATTTATTTAGTCTTAATTTAAATTTTAGTTTAAGCAATAAATGTGAATACTAATGGTTGTTTCTTGTATAGAACATTGTTCCAGATATCTGACACATAGAATTAGAAATTGGAGAAATTATATTATGATAACATTCAAAGCCAAGAAAGAGGAATAGAATAAAATAGATAATTTATAATAGCAAAAAGAGCAAAATACAGGAAAAATACTATTCAGACTGGCTCTAAAGTCAGATTAAATTAAATAATGGAAGCTCAAATTCTGAAAGTGCTTTACACTATATATTTCATGAGAAAAACACACACTTAGGGCTAATGTGACGATTTCAGGTTCTTTGATTAAGTATGAAACAGTAATAAATAGTATAACTATTAAGATAAAGAGGACAGCATGATTTATCACAGTATAAATATTTTGCCTTTTTTTTTTGTTAGGTGCAACATCTGGCGCAGTAAGTACTCTTTAAACTTCTGCTAATACCTTTATTTATTATCTATTAACCTATTTCATTGAAACCTATATCTGTTTAAAGATTATGTGCCAAGTTAATTATTCCATATGTCAGCCTTAAGTTTTCTTTGCCAGGATTGCAATCTGTCTTTGGTACTTTTCAAAGTGTCTCAGCACATTGCATATTGCTGTAACAAATAACTTAGGTGAGCTGCTTTATAAATGAACAAGGGCTTTATTTAACCAACAGTTTTGGAGGCTGAAAGGCTGTGAAGCTGTTTTCATCTTTTCAACCTCTAGTGAGAGCCTTCTGTGTACTTGACAATATGCTAGATGGAATCACATACAGGAAGAATATGTAAGAACAGAGGGTGATGGATGACGAAGCACTCACATGGCAGCAAGACTACGAGCAATAGAACAAACTAAGGAAGCTAAAACTTGCTTTCTGGTAGTGTGTTTTTATGATAACCAATCCAGTTCCATGAGTGAAAATTCACTACCTGGAGAAAAGCACTAATTCTTCTTAATTACCTACTTTTCCATCTCTTAATTGAATCCTTCCCAATACTACCACATTAAGAATCAGATCTCTGTTTGAAATTTGCTGGGAAGAAACTATATTAAAATCAAAGCAGATAAACCTATTCATATTAACTTTTGGATCTCGGTTTTTCTTGTAATTACAAGGGAAGTAGAACTCTTAAAATACATAATTGTAATTATTAGGTACTCTTTTTTTTTTTTAATAATGGAAAAATGAAATTATCCTTATTTTTACTACAAACCTGATATAAACTTTCTCCAGTACAGTTGTTGCTGGATATTTTGCTGATTGGTGCTAGGACTTTCAGCAAATAATATGTACATATATCCTCCCATTTACTTTGCCATCTCTAGATTAGTTATTATAACTGAAGGAAATGCTACATAACATTTTTACATTACGTTACTTAGAGAATGTGAAGAAAATAAGTTCATGTGTACTACAGACCAAGTTGTTTCTAAAGCTAATAGTTTTGTTCTTTCGCTAATGATTCTGTAAATGGCACTTTGTTAAGCTTTTTTATCATGCTCCATATTTTGGGAAATAGTATTAGTCCCCAGACAGAGACACCATTTATTGATGGCTCTTTACTGTTTCTTGCCATTCTGTAAAGATCAAAGAAGAGTTAATGTGTATAATCTTATTTAGAGGTAATAGACCAGAGAGCTACTAAATCCCACTGTTAGCTTGAAAAGATGGAGAAAATGGCCTTGTGATGGAGTAAGCTAAACCACTGGCTGCAGCACCAACATCTCATATCCATATTAGAGCAGCCAGCTTAATTAAGACCAGGCTACTCCTGTTCCCATCCAATTCCTTTCTGATGTGCTTGGGAAAGCAGTGAAAAGTGTTGCGAAACCTGGACCTCTGGATAGTCCTGGCTTTGTCCTGGCCCAGTTGTGGTCATTGCAGCCCTTTTGGGAATGAACCAGAAGATGCATGGTATCCCTGTTTCTTTTTCATCTGCTCCCTCCCTATCTATCCTTTCACCTTGTCTCTCCTCATAACTGTGTGACAAACAAGTCTTAAAAAAAAAAACAAAAAGGCTTTGATTAATTATCAGCTGTGCTTCTTGGAAAAGTAATTTTTTAATTGGTAAGCTTATTTATAATATTCTTAGGATGTCTTTTGCTTTAAAAGTTGAATGGCAAAATATTCTGCTAATCTTCCAATGTACTTTATTTTTGAAAAAAAAAGCTTGGATTGATTGGTGTGAAAATAAAGCAAGTGTAAGTTAAGGAAAGCACAATTCATTGTGAATAGTATTTAAATATAAATTGGGTATGTTTGTGTATAAGTCTTGAATGCTAGTTTCATATTACCTGTGCTTTTGAAATAAAGGTTTTTAAAATTCTTTTTAAAGACAGAGCAGCAAAGGGAGAGAAATCTTCCCACTAGTTCACCTGTTGTATTGCTGCAACTGCTGGAGCTGGTTCAGAACAAAGCAAAAGCCAGGAATACCATGCAGGTCTCCCATACGTGTGTCAGAACCCTAGTATATGGACCTTTTCCACTGCGTCCCCGTGCACAGAGAGCTCATCTGTATATAGAGCAGCTAAGACTTGAGGCAGTGCTCCGATGTGGTGTGGATGTTGGTGTCTTAAGTGGAGCTTAACTTGAGGTGCAGGAATAAAATTAGTTGCAGAAAATAGGTAGGTTCCCATATCAAGTGTACTTCAGAAAGCTATGGGAAAATAGCATAAAAATACTCATTTGGGTATAAAAAAAATTCCAGAGATCCCTAACTAGTATTTTACAGTGTGCAAGAAAAAGAGGTTTTACAGGTTTCCTTGGATGCATGGATCTCAAAAATTTTGGTTCCAAAACTAACTTCTCTGTCAATTCAGTTTTTCTGAAAACTTTGGAAATATCGTATGTGAACGTTTAAATGAGTTCATTAAGTATTTGATGGTGCTGGAGAATTGCTATTTTTTTCTTGGGATTCTAAATTTCAGGGATAGAAAGCATTTAGGCATCTTATGTTTCAGGGAGAAGATACGCAGTGTATATTTCTGATAACAGTACAGTCGTACCATATCTTTTTCTACAAAAATCTATAGCAGCAAATGTATGAACCATTTTATTTTTGGTCAGTGGACATAGATTTAAACTAACTTCTTATTGGACTCCTAAGGGAGACTAACATTTTGTGTGCTCTTTGGGTTTATTCTCTGGTAATCCTAGTTCTTTCCTAATTTTTTTTGTCATTGATTTGACATTGAGTCCTTCAAATGTATTAACCCTTTATTAGTCCTGAGTTTCAAATATTTTTTCTGGTCTATCATCTGTTGACTTCACTTATTAAATTCTCATATATTATCATATATTTTATTTGTCTCATTTATGTCTGTTTATTTATGATTGAATATTTTGCTTTTGCACTTACATTGACCTTAATGTTTATTTGATAAAATAAGCTTTCAGTTTTCATTCTCTTTGTTATTTTCAGGTGTTAGCATATTCTTTTTTCTAAAGTTCTCTAAAAGAGAAATCTATAAATACATATACTGACACAATAAAAATGAATGGTGCTCAACACAGTAAATATTGTTTATTCTTTCTTAATCTGTTATCTTTAAGTCTTCTATTGATGGTCATACTCATAGTACTACATATTATTACATAGCATTCATTTATATGATTTATTTGAAAAGCAGAGTGCCAGGGGAGGGTGAGAGATTTTTTTCCATCTATGGATTCACTTAACCCATTGGCAACTGTTTCAAGGGCTGGAGCGGGCAGAAGACAGGCACCAACAGCTGGATGTCCCCGATGTGTGAGTGTCAGGGACTCTAGAGTACTTGAGCTATTGTCTTCCCAAGTGCCTTATCAAGGACCTGGCTTTGAAGCAGAGTGCCTGGTCACTGGACATGGCAAGTGGTGGCTTAACTCCCTTACCACAATACCTACCTCACGATGGTTTTTAATGCTTATTGTACAAATGTGCATCCAGTTTGTCTCTATATTGAAAAGTTAATTTTTTCCTCAACAACCATTTTATTTTATTAGTACAATAACTGTGATGGTAGTAAATTGGAAACTGGTATTTGAAAAAGTGTAGAATTATTACAGAAACTAATTTCATGAAATCTTAACTTCTCTAAAGCTACAAAAGTTAAAATATTTTCCCAGATTTTTAGTATTTGAGAAATAGTATCATTTTTTGTCCAATAGAATATGCTAGAACCAAGTAAAGTGACTGTGGTAAGGAAATCAGAAAAAGTGACTCACGTGTTTTCAGCCATATCCAAAGCAGAAATCAGAAGTCCATCAGCTTTTAGTGGAAGTTGTTAAGAAAAAGAGCATGTAATTCTGCTTGAAATAAATGCAAACCAGTGCTTTTCACTTATTTCAGAATTTTTTTTTTAAAGAAATACTATAAAAGACTATTCTCCAAAGAAGTTTTAGGAGTGTGTTAGCTTTTACTTGCCTTCATTTCTTTTTGTCTAAGCACAGACTGCTTCTTGATGTGTGTATTGTCTAAGTAAATGAATTTTCAAATAATTGCAGAGTAAAATATGAGGGTAGGACAGCTTGGACAGTTTGGGATTTTGCTTTTTTTTGAAAAATATTATTTATTTATTCATTGGAAAGTCAGGTATACAGAGAGAAGGAAAGGCAGAGTAATATCTTTCTTCCGTTGATTTATTCCCCAAGTGGCTGCAATGACCAAAGCTGAGCAGATCAGGAGCCGGGGTCCAGGGTCACAAGGTTTTGGGCCATCTTCAACTGCTTTCCCAGGCCACATGCAGGGAGCTGGAGGAGAATTTGGGCCATTAGGATTAGAACCAGTGCCCATATGGAATCCCAGTGCACACAATGCGAGGGCTTGAGCTGCTAGGTTACTGTGCTGAGTTTTTGTTTGAGATGTGTAATACTCTTATTAGATTTTTTTTTAAATGCAGTGTCTATAGTCTTTATAACCCTTCAAGCAAAGTTTGTCACAACCTGATAAATCTGGTTGCCAGAATAATCAGCTGTATTTGGTAGCATTCACTTAATCCTGATAACTTGATAAATTTAGCAGCAACCTTGACTTGAGCCATCATGTTATTGAATACTAAAAATTTTATTAATAGATTTTAGTACAGGTGCTACTAGTTCTTTTGGAACCTTGGCAAAACTTAGATTTACAATATTTCAAGCTAATTTCACATAAAACTTTATCTCACCTCTGTTGATTTGCGTTATCTGTAGTTCTGTTTTTCTTTGCTTTCCAGTTTAATTTGTTGACAGTTCAATTCTGATTGTAATGCAAAAGCCATTTGTTCTGAGAGTTACTACTTGCTAGCATCACAATTTAAAACTAATACGACACTCATTGAATTAGGAGTATGATCAGTTCACCTATATTATATTAGCAGCTAATTCGTTCATGTTGTATCCACTAAGTGTAGATTTATATTGTTGGAATAATGTGTTGTGTATCCAAGTTACAAAGCGTTGTTAGGAGTGCAGTCATGTCTTTGCAATTCCAGGAGAGAAGAAACCATGCTGCCCTTGAAATGTTTTAAACATTCCTTGTTTTTCAGTTTTCTCCTGGCATGCATTGATAAATTATTCTAAATGTCTTATGCTGAGAAATACTTCACATATGTTTATTGTTAAAAGTAACGATACTGATATTTACTATAGGTGAAATTGTTGCATAACTTAATTTTTTTGTATTTTTTCTGCAGAAATCAATGTGGACTGAACATAAATCACCTGATGGAAGGACTTACTACTATAATACTGAAACAAAACAGTCTACCTGGGAGAAACCAGATGATCTTAAGACACCTGCTGAGGTACAGTTTCAGAGGTGGAAAAAGGGGACTGTTATAGACCATGGCATATCTTTTTGGATTTTGTATTTAACTATTTAAATACTATTCCTGCTTGTATACTAGAACAAGGTTAGTACCAAAACTCCCTTCTCCAAACAAATAAATTTTTTCCTGAATAATTTTATTTATTGACTTTATTGCAGAAAGGTAGAAATAAGACTTATTGCATTTCCTGGACTATTTTTTTAAAATTCATATTTTCAGTTGCTTTCTTAGCAAAATGAAGCCTTAAAATTTCCAAAGGAGTTGGGAATAATGGTAATGAAATTTTAATTACAAACACTTCCTTCTTTTAGAATGGGAAGTTGTCTCTGCTGAAATTGATCTTGAAAAAAAGAGATATTATTTTCTATTATAAATTTTAAATCTCCCTGTTCTGATTTTATAGTCAGTATTGGTTCTCGTTACATATGCTTATATTGTCCAAAATAACTGTCAGGATTCAAGTTTTCAATATCTTTATAATATCATCCTAATACTTTGATAAGAATACTTCAAAAACTCCAAAACTGGAATTCAAATATTTGATGCAATATTTCAACACTCATACATATCTGTTTCATGATGTTGTGGGTTTTGTTTTTAAGATGTGTTTATTTACTTAACAGAATTGACAAAAGCACAGATGCTTGGCCATCTTCCCATTGCTTTGCCTAGGCCATTAGCAAGGAGCTAGATGAGAACCAGAATCCTATATGGGATGCTGGAATTGCTGCTATGGTTTTGCCATTATACCACAACACTGCTCCCCCACCCCCATTGAAACTTTCAAGGACCCTTGCTGTGCATGGCTTTCAAAATTTTTGAACCAAAATAAAGTTTTTTTTGAATTCCAGTTTCAGTGGACTTTTTGAGAAACACTTGAGTTAGGTATATCATACCTACATTGTTTTTTAATGTAAGAAAGCTTGAATACAATTGTAACAAAGTATCCTGGAACATATCTAAGCAGACTATTCAGATATTGCTGTTGCTTAAATTTTGGTTTCCTATTCCTACCTGTGTTAATATTTGGAATGTTATGTTAAAAACAGAATAGAAATTTTTCCCTGCGTTGGGTAAGTGCTAAGCCCGTATGGATTTGACATTGGTTTGTTACTTTAAATAAATTACCTTTTTACCAGTAACCTTCAAGTTTTAGAATTACATAGATAATATCTAGTAAAATGAATCATTGGTGATGCTAAATCCACCAGTTAACTAAAAGTTTTTTCTCTATAGCAACTATTATCTAAATGCCCCTGGAAGGAATACAAATCTGATTCTGGAAAGCCTTACTATTACAATTCTCAAACAAAGGAATCCCGCTGGGCCAAACCCAAAGAACTTGAGGATCTTGAAGGTAAAAATAGGAGAAAATAATGATTGGTATAAATTTTTTATTTTGATGTGTCAATCATTTTGATACAATCCTTTCTGAATAGGATTGTTCAAAAGTCTTTCTTTTTTTAATTAACTGATTAGAACATTTTAAATGGTATAATAGTTTTATGGGCTCTTTTAACTTGTTGCTCTAGATCTCAGTTCTATAGATTTTAAATAGATTTTTATTTGATTTGATTCCACTGAAACTAGGATACCAGAATACCATTGTTGCTGGAGGTCTTATTACAAAATCAAACCTGCATGGTGAGCTGCTTTGATAATTCATTTTCTGTCATATTTAACATTTTTAGAGTATGTCACTAATATTCACTAACTGATTTGATGAATTTGCAGTGAAAAAAATCTCTAGGTTCAGGAATTAATTTCACTCAAGGGTTATATTATAAATGAGCTTGTGACTCTTAAAGTACACTTTGATTTTTGTCAATTAAAACTATTTCATCATTGGATACTTAGACAAGAGCTTCGCTTAGAAAATTTGTAATTCCTTAAAAATATTGGTAATTCTTAGCAGGAATTAATAATTTAGTTCTTTATGATTTTAATTGTACCAACCTATACATATTAGAAGCAACAGATTATAAGAAGATAGAAATAAGTAGGCAGTACTATGGAATGGCATGTAGCAAGAAAGAATGAAATTTCATGAAAAACCTTGCTCTGTTACCTCGTGATGTTAGATGACTATATCAGAAAAAATATATTTATAACCTTGAATGTGAACTTTTTAAGATTTATTGGTTTTGGGTCCGGCATAGTGGCCTAGCGGCTAAAGTCCTTCCCTTGAATTCCTTGGGATCCCATATGGTCACTGGTTCTAATCCCTGCAGCTCCACTTCCCATCCAGCTCCCTGCTTGTGGCCTTGAAAAGCAGTCGAAGATGGCCCAAAGCCTTGGGACCCTGCACCTGCATGGGAGACCTGGAGGAAGTTCCTGGATCCTGGCTTTGGATCAGTGCAGCACCAGCTGTTGTGGTCACTTGAGGAGTGAAACCACAGATGGAAGATCTTCTTCTCTGTCTCTCCTCCTCTCTGTCCATCTAACTTTGAAATAAAAATAAGTGAATATTTTTTAAAAGATTTATTGGTTTTTATTTGGAAGATTTTTACAAAGAGTTATGGAGAGATAGAGACAGAGGTCTTCCATCTGCTGGTTCAGTCCAGATGCCTAAAAGGCAGAGCTGAGGTAATTGGAAGCTGGGAGCCAGTAATTTCTTCCTGGCCTCCCAATGTGATTGCAGGGACTCAGAGACTTGGGTTATCCTTTGCTGCTTTTCTAGGCCATAAGTAGAGAGCTGAATTGGAAGTGGGGCAGCTGGTACAATAACCAGCACCCACGTGGCACATGCAATGCCTGGACTTTCACACAAAGGATTAGTTTTCTCAGTCACCATGGCAGCCCCGTAACCCATCCTCAACTGATTTAGATACTTTTATAATGCAATATGTTCTTAAAATATTTTCAAGTTAAGCTATGTCATCACCTGGTAGTGCTTATTAATAAAAGATACCATTTGTTAGGAACATTTATATAATCCAAATGGAAAAGTGAAGTCTTGGCTGCTGATCTTTAGAACTAAATTTAAGTTATACTAGCATTGTCTTTTAAGAGTTTAGATAAGTGGTGTTATGGTTTATTCATTTACAGAATATCAAGCTCATATCTGATGTAACCCTATTAAAAATAGTATATATATCTACAGACCTGTGTTTGTCAGTGCTAGTATGTATGTACTGAAATTTCTTAACAGTTTGTCTCTTTTTGAATTTGGTATATTAAGAAAATTCCAAATAATCTCATCCATAGGGACAATATTTTGTTTCGTAATTATATAGATTTTCAGGGAGTTGTTGTGGTAGCCAGCAGCCTTTGAGAAAATATAGCATGAGATAAGCTTTTCTAATAACTTCTTATTTAAGCTTGCTATTCTTTAAATTCATGCCTTGCAACTTTGGAGCAAGTAATTGCTCTATTAAGCTGATTTTAAATTTTATTTTGGATGTTAAATGAAATCCTTTGATAGTTTTCTCTATCTCCTTTTAATACTTGTTTTCAAGAAGTGCTTATTTTCATTTACTATGTTTAAAACCTGGTAGGTAACTTTTCTTTTTTCTTTAATAGCAATGATCAAAGCTGAAGAAAGCAGGTAAGCAATTTGAATATCAACATATTTGTTTTGATCTTTTATAACACCTTTTCATTTTTGCTAGCAACCTTTTTTAAAATGCAAATATTATTTAATGTGTTAGGTCTGATGACTTCATGTCTTCAGATAATTTTAATTTTGGGGGAATATTATTTACTGAGGTTGATGCTTTGCTAAACAATGATTAGTTACTTAGGTCTGTAGAAGATTTATTGTAAAATCCAGAATCTTGTTTCAGTTCGTTTGAGAGTGGATGAAATATTATGTCTGTATGTTTCTTTGATTTAAAATGCTTTTCTTTGAGTTGAGGAAGTAGTGAAAATTTATAAGTTCTTGGAAATAGGATATTTGTGTGGTTTTGTGATATACTTTGTATCAAAAGCATTTTGTAAGTGAGAATAATTCAGATTTTGGAGCGACTATTACATGAATGCCTGTTATATTTTGGCATGAATACTGAGTTAAAGCAAAGCAATTAAACTTTATTCTATAATATTAACCTTTTATAAATCATTTTCTAGTTAGGAATCATTGAATGTTATTCCCTTCTCATTTAAAGCCTAGCTTCAGGTTTGTGTTAATTGTAAAGAATAACCAGTGTTTCTGCTTTGTTTTTTGGTTTTTATGTGTAGTAAGCAAGAAGAGTGCACCACAACATCAGCAGCCCCGGTTCCTACAACAGAAATTCCAACTACAATGAGTACCATGGCTGCTGCAGAAGCAGCAGCTGCTGTTGTTGCTGCAGCAGCCGCAGCAGCAGCAGCTGCTGCAGCAGCCAATGCCAATTCTTCCACTTCTACTTCTAATACTGTGGGTGGAACTGTTCCAGCTGTTCCTGAGCCTGAAGTTACTTCCATTGTTGCTACTGTTGTAGATAATGAAAGTACTGTAACCATTTCAACTGAGGAACAAGCACAACTTGCTAGTACCCCTGCTGTTCAGGATCAGAGTGTTGAAGTATCCAGTAATACTGGAGAAGAAACATCTAAGCAGGAAACTGTAGCTGAGTAAGTTTAGTAAATTGTCTTCTGAAAATCTGTGTTAGAAATAATACAAGAAATTGTCACTGAATCCAGGATTGTCCATTGAGACTTTAATATATTTTGAAAAGCAAAAATTTTAGAACTTCTAAATATGATCAGTTTGGGGACTGATCATTCTTTGCTTCTTTCAGTTTTTCAAGGTAGATTGGTCATCAAAGTGTTAGAAAATAAATGCATTACATTTTTAAGGAAATTGGTGAGGATATTGTGAGGCACATTTTATATCTAGTACAATGTAAATGGTATGGGAGCTTTTTGTTACACTGTACTTTTTAGAGACTAATAAGAAAAACATGTCTTTAGTACTGATGGAATTTGGCTTTTCTTTCACATATTTTTGACACACTGTTGGTTGACTCTACAGAATGCAGAGTGCCAGCTCTAATTTGTTTTTCTTAATTTTAAGAATTAATACCAATATCCTATTGGCTTTTTTTCTGTCTAGCATTTCTTGATTATAGCCTGTAATAGTGAGCTTTTGTTTTTAATTAAATTTATATAGGCCATTTGTAGCTATTTAGTTTTTTGCTGACCTGCTTAGAGTATTTGTTTTTAACAACTTAAAATAGATCCCAAATAAATTTACTAGATTTAGAGTGGTAGTCTAGATTTTGTTAGTATCTGCGCCAATATTTCTTCCCCGTCTTCGATTCTCTTAGGAGAGCTTGTAACTATTCTGTTTGAGCAATTTTAGGACTGTTTTCTTCCTTCCCCTTGTTTATATAGGGCTATATGTAAAGCATATATAAAATTTTCACTGCAGAATGATATCCAAGCCAAAATAGTTGATAGTTCTTTATTGTGTTAGTTTAATTTTTGGCAAACTTTGGTTTTAACAAAAAAGGTTAGTTTTTTTTTCTTGGTTGGTTTGTTTGTTTTGTGTTTGTAAAAAAAAGAATTACCAAAAATTAATTTTAAAAAATAATTTTGGTTTTGTGTATGTTTAATTGACAGCTCTGCTGTGGTCTCACAAATCAATCATAAATTGTATTCACACACACACAGAGGCTATGTTTATCTTCACTTATCTACACCAAGAGCAGGTTGGATTTATACATTGTAGTTTTCGACTGGTTTAGAAAATCTGCACCTTTTTATATTTATTCAGACTTGTTCAAATACTCAGTTATTAATATACTTTTCCTAAAACACTCAGGCATTTAGTAGTATTAAGCTTTGAGATAGCACTTAAAGGCATTTATTTTTCTAGGTGAAGCAAATATTTGTTTTAAGTTGTCAATGTCATGTTTACATTTCTCTAGTTTTACTCCCAAAAAAGAAGAGGATGAAAATCAACCAGCAAAAAAAACATATACTTGGAACACAAAAGAGGAGGCGAAGCAAGCATTTAAAGAATTATTGAAAGAAAAGGTATTTGTATTACAGATTTTTGTATGCACTGTATCAGCTGCCTAATCCAAACCTTGAGACGTTTTTTTGACAGCACTGATCTCATGTACTAATTTTATTGGAAATCAACAAAATTGTCCTTTTTTTTTTTTTTTGGAAGATCACTTTTGTGAACTTTTGAACAAACTGTGTACCAGATACTACACGAGGACATTTCTACTTCAATATTTACAAAAGGGTTTTTTTTTTTATTAATAATTGCTTACCTTTTGCTAAATATTTTAAAGAAAAAATTAACTTTCTGTTTAAGTTCATTTCATTTGATAGGTAGTTAACAGAGATTTCTCATCAGTAAAACACTATTTTACAACTTTTCAAACTTATACCAAGGAAAGTGCTTGATGTTTTCAGTGAGTATTATAGTTGGCTTCCTGATAATATGAGTTATTATGCTAGTGTGAAATTGTAATTCTCTATTTAAATGGTTTTCAGCGGGTACCATCAAATGCTTCCTGGGAACAAGCTATGAAAATGATCATTAATGATCCACGATACAGGTAATATTTCTGTGTTTTACATACTTTTCACATAGCAAGCCTTGTACATTTTGTATTGTGGAGAATTATATGGCTTTTAACTGCTATTGACGCCCATTGTTTTAGATATCAAGAATAGTTATTTGTATGAATATAGACCAAAAAAAAAAAAACCTAAAAGGCTCAGCATAAAATTTGAGAATCCTGCTTTACATTAAATTATTTAGTTTAATACTGGGAATCGCTTAATAAATTTCTATAATGTCCATTTGTACCTGAGGAAAACCATATTACATTTTATTCTCTTCATTTCATGTTCTGTTTTTGTCTTTAGTGCTTTGGCAAAATTGAGTGAAAAAAAGCAGGCATTTAATGCCTATAAAGTCCAGACAGAAAAAGAGGAAAAAGAAGAAGCAAGATCAAAATACAAAGAGGCTAAGGAGTCCTTTCAGCGTTTCCTTGAAAATCATGATAAAATGACTTCTACAACCAGATACAAGTAAGCTTTTTAGTGATAGATGGCTCGTGTATGCATTATTTGTGTCATCCTTTTTTGCCAGCTGTTGTAAGTGATCTTAGACCAATGCTGAATTGTAAATGTAATAATTTGATAAAGAACAGGATGAACCATTGTTTACATGGAATTTAACTTGGACTTAGTAAATTGCTTTTAGAGTAGAAAGCATTTTGTTTTAATTTAACTGAAAATTGAGATCGTTTTTGATTGGTTGTTGTTATTTAGCGTATAGTTAACATTTGATTTTTTTGATAATAGGAAAGCAGAGCAAATGTTTGGAGAGATGGAAGTCTGGAATGCAATATCAGAACGTGACCGTCTTGAAATTTATGAAGATGTTCTGTTTTTTCTTTCAAAGAAGGAAAAGGTATTTTTTATTGCTATTTCTGGTTTCATAGACAAGGCATTTATTCTTCCTAATAAAGAGTTATACCATGTCCCATTTTATTGCCTAGTTCATCCAGTTTGTGTGGTGTGGAAATTTTATTTTTTTATTAGAAGCTGAGATTAAAAATTAAGTGGATAGCCATTATAATGTCATCCCTTCCTAGCACAAATAATGATAACATCACAGCACTGATTTATTTGACTATTACTTACATTGTCGTTTATTAGCTCTATAATGCCCTTATTGGAAAATGTGCTACTTTTTTTTAGATAATTGGACTTAAAACTACTTTGCTTATAATATATTTGATTCTGATGTAAAAATCAAGTACTGTACTATTGTTTCTGCTAAAGTGAACTTGTATGATAGTGTTTTAAAGTACCTTTTTTACCATACCTGTTTTGTAAAGTACTGTTAGAATTAGTATTTTCTAGTGTGCAAGGAACACATATATTTGTAAGCGTAACAAAAATTTAAACACAGGCACATGTCTGGCCCTGCAGTAAGACACTGTTGGGGCAGCTACATTACACTTAGAAAGTAACAGGGAGCACTTTGAGCTGTTGACTTCAGCTTCTGTTAGTGCTCACACTGAGAGGCAGTGCTAATGGATAATCAGGTTCCCAGCTTGTGTTTTTGGCATAGCCTAACCATTGCCAATATTTGGGGACTGAACTGGTGGATGGGAACTCTGTATTTTCTGTGTGTCAGATTTAACATAGGCAGAAGCTGTTGACACATTGAAGGGGCCTTGGTTAGCATTTAGTTACTGGGTGACATGCCTACATTTGCTTCAATTATGGGCTCTTTCTGTGATATTGTAAATGTTCTTGTAAGAAAAGTTTATGGAGTGGAGCGTTAGGGAAAAAATAGTAATCCTTTCTGGATTCTGTGGGTAGAAAATAGGTGAACAAATTAAGGGCAAATACATAACCAAGCACTTGGGCAAGAGCAGTAGCAAAGTATGTAGTGTGTTTGTAATTTAATGTCTTAGTTTCTTTGAATATCAAGAGGTATATTCCTAATTTTTTTTTTAAAGGAACAAGCAAAGCAGTTACGAAAGAGGAACTGGGAAGCCTTAAAAAATATACTTGACAACATGGCTAATGTAACATACTCTACAACTTGGTCTGAAGCCCAGCAGTATTTGATGGATAATCCAACATTTGCAGAAGATGAGGAGTTACAGAGTATGTCATCTCAAAAAGAGAGAAGTAGTTTTTAAGCACTGTCCTCTGACATAGAAGTATTGTCACATTTTTATGGATATTTTAAAGTAAATTTTAGAGTTGTTTGTCAATTTCTGAAAAAGTTTTCTGTTGATTTCCAAATGAAATATTTCTTTATAGTTGAGTTTTGTGATTCAGCACAAAATATCCTTAGAGAAATCCAAGTTAGCTTTATCAGCTAATTCTGGGGGCATTTAAATCATGTCATACTTTGAATTTTGCTTAGCCAGTTATATGTTGTGTTAAGTGGGTGAGAACCAACTTGCACTTTTCACCTTTAGTGTCTTCTTGAGATAGTAACTTTGATTCAGATTTTGGCAAAAATTATGCTAGAATTATTTGACATTAGGCTTTTCGAAAGTATTTTTTCTGTCTTATCTAGAAACCTTTCAGCTTGTGCCTTCCTTAGCCATCTCTCTGAAAAATAACATGTGAGTATTTTGGGTAGGGCCTAGAATGTTAAACACAGCATAACGTTTCAATTAATTGGGAGACAGCCCAGTTATAGTGATGGTCCTGAAAATTGCATCACTAAGAGACATTATAGCCATCCTGGTTTGTGGGGAAATGTCTTCTGATGTCCACTCAACAGTGAAATTTTACCAGAACATATTCCAGTAGTTACATGAGGCAACTACTTTGAAAAACTGTGTTAGTTATTATGTTAAAGGCAGAATTTTTTATTTTTCTAGTAACAGCTTCATTGATTTGTTCTTGTACACTTTATTCATAGTTTCATTCTTTTAATGAGCTATTTGAAAATAATCTGAGATGATCAAGTAATATTTGAATTTAAATAGCTGTAGTTTTGAAAGTGAGTTTGAAATTGTGGGGGATTAATACAAATAAATGCTATCCTTGCTGATTCTTGTCATTTTAATTTTTAACCAAAACAACATTTAGATATGGACAAAGAAGATGCATTAATTTGCTTTGAAGAACACATTCGGGCTTTAGAAAAGGAAGAAGAAGAAGAAAAGCAGAAGAGTTTACTCAGAGAAAGAAGACGACAGCGCAAAAATAGAGAATCTTTTCAGGTAATAGAGGGAAAATTCTTTAATACGGTTACTGAGCTTCAGTGATGACAAAGTGTTTCAGGTCCTTTCCTCCGATATCATTGACTTGGACGTTGTGGCAGACCTATAATCTTTAATTCATTGAGTTCTATAACTTTGTCCATCTGCTTACACAGAAACTTTAGTTGGGTATGGGAATCAAGATTGTAACGTCATGTAAGGTGAGCGTTGATACATAAGATTTTTGTTGAGAAAAATGAATCCATGAGAGATGACTGACTGGTGCTAGTTGCTATACAGTCAGCAGAGAACATTAGGAATCCTGTATTATAGTTTCAGTGTAAGATCTGTGGCTATGTGTCAGCTAATGGATAATGTTTACCCCTCATGTTTATTTTATATTCATTACTAGGACTGTCGTATAGCAATTAGTTTTTGCATTTCATTTCTCACCACGTTCCCCATTTTCCAAAAATTAGGGTATGCAGATCCCATGATTACATTTTACCTTGGAGAATTTGAGAATCTAGTTTTTTGCTTTGTTTTGTTTTGTTTTTTAGTTAAGGCTGAAATGTGGCTGTAAATCAGATTAGTAGCTGCTAATGTTAAGCTTGATGGTATTCCTTCAGATATTTATTTCAAAAGATATATAGAACGTCAAAATGTATGCAAAAAAGTCTTTGCATTTACCATATAATACAGTGGATGGAAACTCAATAGTACTGATTATCACTTTCTTTTTATAGAGTCCTCATTTGCCAATCAGGAGATGATAATATGTCATACTGGTGATCAAGAAACTCATTTGTATTATTTTAAACTTAAAGCTTGTGCTTGAATTCATACCAGATAAGGAAAGGATTGTAATTTGAATAGAACAGTTTGGTCCTCGGTAGATAATTCCCAGTTACACAGAATTAGTAGTACCACCTGGAAAATTATTGAAGTGCAAATTTTCAACAAATGTTGTCACTCAAATATTGTTGGTGGAGCCTAACAGTCCCCCTAGCAGCAGTTGTTGAGGAAACCCTTGAATTAAAAAGTGATAAAATATTAAGAATTTTAATGTACTGAGGTAATACTGTTAAGCATAGTAGGGAAGCACTGCCAAATAGGTGAAAGGTAAATAAACGTATTGTACTTTTCTCTCTGATGTTTTCATGAGGTACATATTAAATATAGTTTAGGACAAAGGCTTTTCTTGGGTAATACAAAACCAGTCAAGAGGAAGACAGTGAAGAAGGAATTGAAAGATAGAGGTATCCTTTAAGTAAATAAAATCTTATTAGGTATTCAGTGTGTATGTATATGTATATATGTATTCACATGTATATGAAGATTTTGAACAGTGCAAGGGGCAAGATGGGGAGAAATAAGGGACAAAAGAATACTGAATTGTGTTCAAGCAGGGAAGATTTTGTTGGTATCAGTATTTGGAGTGGCTGCTTTTGGCATATTTGGGTAGTGATCAGAGATGTTGCCAAATATCTTTGGGCATGAGATCTGTCTTCTCCCCGAAGAAAGAAGAAAGTGCCCAGGGTGTCACTAGTGCCAAGGTTAGCACTTCTCATCTGAGGAGAGGGGGTATATCAGGCAAGTTTGGCGAATTTATAAAGCATCTTGCTTTTTGTAATGTTAAAATTTGTGCCTGCCCTGCACACCTTCTCCCCCTCCCTGTCTCCTTTATCTGATAATTATTTTAGCAGTTAACTCAGAGCACAAAGACTTTTGTGGGTTTTTATTCACTTACTTGCAAAGCAGATTTGCGAAGAGAATAGGGGAAGCTCTTTCATCTGCTGGTTTGCTCCCCACCTTAACGCCTGGAGCTGAGCCAGAAGCTTCTTCTAGTTCTTATACTATGTGTAGGGGCCCAAGGTCTTGAGCCATCTGCTGCTGCTTTTCCCAGTGTAAACAGGGCGGTGGATCAGAAGGTGTGACTAGAATCAGCCCCCAGAGCAGTTTTACAGAATAGTAACTAAGGGGTAGGGTAGTGTGAACGTATGAGGAGTTCTCATACACTCCTCAATCTGTTTCTTGTTACTATTATTATCTCATATATTATTATCTCATTACTTTTAAAAATAGAATTGTAAATACCTGAATTTCAGCTCATTACTCAAAAACATACCAGTGTTCCAATTACTTCTAGTTTTTATTCTGGTTAGGGTTCCACTTTTGACAAGGAGTTGGTATCCCATGTCAGCGACCTGGAAGTGTGAGGCACAAGCAAAGCAGATATTATAGGACAGGTTATGAGATCTGATGAAGCGTTATAAAAGGTGGTTTCTCAGATAAAGTTGTCTGTACTGATGTAATTTTTCGTTTGAAGTGGATTTGCAAGTGCTTTGTTGTTATTTGAGGACAGCATTATCCAATGAACAAATATTCTATATGAGCAGTCCTAATTTGCAACCAATATATTTAATCTGTGGTATCAAAAAGTGATTTTTACTTGTTAAAATTTGTAATTTTTAAATCATTGTGTTTTATACTTAGAACTCATTATAATTCAGAATAGTCACGTTTCATTTACTCAGGTATGTTAAGATTACTGTTTTGAAAAATGCAGGTGCTAAAAATTGTAGTTATAGAGTTGAATTTCACAGTTGCCTTAGAGGTGTTTGTTTATAGAATTAAACTTCGAAGGATTTGGGGAAAGAGGTTTAGAAGTTCCTAAGGGTTGAAGTCACTGTATATTCTGCGAAACTGAATTATTAGGGAACATGAAGAAAGAAGAGAAATAAGCAAATACAAAAAAGGTTTATATTTAAGTAATAATAGTGATATGAAAAATAAAATGGTCTGAAATTAGATAGGAGTTTGCTTTTATATTTGTAACGGGAAATATTATTCTTGCATTTTTAAGATGTGCCCCTATAGTCCCTTGTATCTCTAATGCTCATGCTCTTCAAGATGGCTGTTCAATTAGAACTACTTTCTCCCCCCTAGATATTTTTAGATGAATTGCATGAACATGGACAGCTACATTCTATGTCATCCTGGATGGAATTATATCCAACTATTAGTTCTGACATTAGATTCACCAATATGCTTGGTCAGCCTGGTAAGATTCCTTTCTTTCTTAATTTATAGTTAAGAACCTAGTTGGAATGAGCCAAAAAGCAAGATAATTATTTTGAGGGAGAGATGTTTTATTTTATTTTTATTTATATTATAAACAAAAAGTAATTGCAGCTCTTTGGTTAGAGCTAGCTTTTGACTTCTTTAGTTTTTTCATTAGGATCAACTGCACTTGATCTTTTCAAGTTTTATGTTGAGGATCTTAAAGCACGTTATCATGATGAAAAAAAGATAATAAAAGACATTCTAAAGGTAAGTAGTCTTACCTGTTTTGCTGTAGTATATAACTAGTACTCTATTAATCTTAGGTATTTGTTTTATATAAACACATTTTCTGCATTTTAGGATAAAGGATTCGTAGTTGAAGTGAATACTACTTTTGAAGATTTTGTGGCAATAATTAGTTCAACAAAACGATCAACTACATTAGATGCAGGAAACATCAAGTTAGCCTTCAATAGTGTAAGTTCATGATTTTAAAAATAAGTAACTGGTGAAATATACAATAGTGCAGTTTTTAATGTTTCAGATAAATGGTTAAGTTGAAAAGTATTTGGATAATAGATCTTTATAAAGAGATTGTCCACTGTCTCTTTGATAAGGTAAAAGTAATTACTGTTTAAAATTTTTATTTTCTTGAAAGGCAAAGCAACAGGGAGAGATATCTTCCAGGTGCTAGATCATAATCAGAATGCTGGCAACAGCCAGGGCTGTGCCAGAATAAAGGTATGAAGCCAAATCTTCAGCTGCGTTTCTTTGCTGGATGTCAGGGACCAAGTGCTCCAGGATGCATTAGCAGGAAGCTCGATTCAGAAGTAGAAGAGCTGTCCAGTGTTGGATGTGGGCATCCCAAGCAATGGCTTAACTCACTGCACCACAAAGCCCATCCCAAATATATTTAGATGATGGCATGTTAAACTTCCTTTTTTGTTGAGATAAGGTGGTTCTTATAAATGATGTGTGAGTACTTGTAAGAACAATTCTATAACTATTTGATTAATCATGATTTTCTGATAGTTGCTAGAGAAGGCAGAAGCCCGTGAACGTGAAAGAGAAAAGGAGGAGGCCCGGAAGATGAAACGGAAAGAATCTGCATTTAAGAGTATGTTGAAACAAGCTGCTCCTCCAATAGAGTTGGATGCTGTCTGGGAAGATGTATGTATATGTGTAAATTTTTTTCCAATGAATTTTATGATGTTTCTTTTTACAGCCACACACACAAGCAAAAGTTATTTGTTTAATAAATTAGTATAATATTAACTGTGGCACTAAGTTAAATCAAAGAAAAAAGACTGTAAAGAGTTGGGATCATCATAATTTTCACTTGCTGCTATTCATTTTAGATATATTTGTATCCTATTGGCATTCATATGTTTATTCCCTATTTTGTTTTTCAGATCCGGGAGCGGTTTGTAAAAGAGCCAGCATTTGAGGACATAACCCTGGAGTCTGAAAGAAAAAGAATATTTAAAGATTTCATGCATGTGCTTGAGGTAATTTTAGAGTTCTCATAACTAATTGAAATAATACAAAATACATAAAAGTATAAACAAAATAGAATTTAGAATGATCTGTTAATATATTCACTTCTTTATTTATGTTTAATTTCTGCTTACTTATTTGAAAGTCAGTATACACTGATTCACTCCTGAACTACCCCACAGTGAAGCTTAATGATGCCAACTTCTGGAACTCAGTCCAGAGCAAATGTTCTGCATCAAAAACCCAAATACTGGAGCTTTCACTATGGCCTCTCAGTGTCAGGAATCTTGAATCAGGAGCTGGAGCAGTAATTGAACCTGGGCAATGTGATGTGTAGGACATTGTGTACACTCCTAACTAGCTACGCCAAATTGCTACAGCTTTGTTATTTGACAAGGCAGAGAGTTACAAAATGCTGGGAGTGCAGGGGGAAGAGACAAGAAGGAAAAAGAGGGGAAGAAAAAACAGAAGAAAGGAAGGAAGAAATACAATTGAGGTCTTGAGGTTAAGAAGGCAGGCCGTCACTCAGTGAAATAAAAAGAGCAAGAGTCTTCTAGGTCACATTTTCAATATCCACTTTGTTGGTTAATGTAGTATGTTTAAGCTGCTGATATATTTGAATGTTAGCTTTTACTGCTGCACTTTCCATCAGCCTTAAAGTTGTTTTAATGAAGTAGTTGAAGTCCACAGAGATGTGGCTTCCACATATCCCCAGGATGTCCTGAGTAGGAAATGCTTCCAGAAGGAAAAGAAAGTGTGATTGATTGGGCATTTATTTTGTAACCAACCTTGTTTTATTTTAGGAGTGACACTTGAGGTTCTTTCTTGCTCCCTGGCTGTCTGGCCTGCATTACTAAACAAAGCCAGATTTGTCTGGCGGGGGAAAAGCATGTCTAATATTATTGTTACTGAAAGTACTTGTGATTGTTCTGAAAATTATTTCTGGGATGTATCAACTTTCCCTACCAGCACATACCATTTTATTTTAAAGACTTTGTGTACTAATAGTTTTTAATATTGTTTTATGTAGATGTTTAAATGAGTATGTAAAGGATGAATAAGAACAAATTAATCATTCTTTGCAATATGATAAAGTTTTACTGTAGGAACTTAATTTATGTAGCTTCTAAAAATTTGTGATGCTCTGTTTAAAGTGAAACTTAACACTGAAATTTTCTGTTCTGTGTCTAGCATGAATGTCAGCATCACCATTCAAAGAACAAGAAACATTCTAAGAAATCTAAAAAACATCATAGGAAACGTTCCCGCTCTCGATCCGTAAGGAAGTGGTTTAGTAACGTACAAATATTAAATGTATTTAAATATTTGTTAGCTTCCTTGCATGAAATTGTTTGTGTCTTTTAGGGGTCAGATTCAGATGATGATGACAGCCATTCAAAGAAAAAAAGACAGCGCTCGGAGTCGCGTTCAGCTTCGGAGCATTCTTCCAGTGCTGAATCTGGTGAGCATTCTGTCCACCTGACTGAACTCCTGAACACTTTGCAGTTCTCAAATTCTGATACCTTTTTGCATTTTAACTCCTCAGAGAGAAGTTACAAGAAGTCAAAAAAGCACAAGAAGAAAAGTAAGAAGAGGAGACATAAATCTGTAAGCAAGCTTCTAATGTCTGTACTTAACCTAGGCAGTGCCTGTAGGGTAGAACATTATTCTGACTAACTCTGTGTGCAGTTCAGATATGTACTGGGAGTTTAGTTGTTTTTCATCCTAAGTTTCAAGTAAAGTCATTTCATGTTCTCTGATAATATACATCAGCATTAGGATTCCCACCCTCTTAAAGCTAGTCTTCAAAAAGAAACGTGTGTATGTTGTAACTTGTGTAGCAGTTTCTCTCCTATTGCAGTTCTTAATCTTGGGTGTACATTAACATTATATGAGGTGCTATTTCATAAGGGCAAAGTTGCCAATGTAAGACTGCTGAAATGGAAGTTTTTCTGTGCTGCTTAGTTAAGTCAGTACATGCCTTATTACCACTTATGAGTGACATTTTAAATACTTTGCTACTTAGTAATTTTGAGCAGAGAATTTGTTTATATGACTGTCGTCCTTACATAAGGATACTTCAGAAAGTTCACATGTAAATGTTAATTTTGGCACAAAGAAATTCTGGAAATCCATGCAGGGTTAGTTGGGTTTTTTCCATCATACTCATGGTTAATTACAGTCTTTATGTCTGTGACTTTCTGTAGATTTTTTTGAACTGTAGTAAATCTCATTGCATTTTCCATGAACTGTTTGAAGTGCCTTACACTGATTAAGGCATTGGAAGCATATTTATCTAAACAAACCAGTATTTCATTGGGGTGACAAAGTATTGCTTTGGAAGTGAAGCTCTTTGCATATAGTAGTTTACAATCAAAGTGTCATCTTTGTCAAAAGGCAGAGTAGCTTTCTCTCATGAATTTCCTTAAGCACAAAGATGCTATAAAATTTCCTTCTTAACTATTCAAATTATATTTTACTGCTTTAGTAAACCATGTAATCTGTTAGGAATGTATGGATGTTACATGTATATGAATTTTTGAAAAGCAATGGCATCTTAATCAGAATACTTGTTACTTTATATTCACATAGGACTCCCCAGAATCAGATACTGAGCGTGAGAAGGATAAAAAAGAAAAAGATCGGGAAAGCGAAAAAGATAGAACTAGACAAAGATCAGAATCAAAACACAAGTCACCTAAGAAAAAGACTGGGAAAGATTCTGTAAGTGTTTGAATTATTTGATGCCTTATTTTCAAAGGACAAAAATATACTGTTAAAACCCTAGTAGTGGTTAAGTAATAGACTATCTCAGGCCTGTAACTATTAAAACAATGAAGTTTAGTGAACTATTCTGACTCAAAATAGTTTTTTAATGTATATTCTTTCTTCAGTTATTCTTTTTTAGATTTATATTTATTTATGTGAGAGGTAGATTTACAGTGAGAGAACATGCTTCTGTCCGCTGGTGCACTCTAAATGGCCTCAGCAGCCAGGGCTGACCCAGGTGAAAGCCAGAAGCAAGGAACTCCATCCAGGTCTCTGCATGGGTGGCAGAGGCTCATGTGTTTAGGCTGTCTTCCCTAGCTGTTCCAGGCTCGTTAGCCAGGGACCTGAAGAAGTGGAGCAGGCAAGACTTAAGGGGTGCTGGTGAAGTGGGTGGTGGTTTAACCCACTGTGCTGCAATGCCAGCCTCAGAATACAGCATTTCATACGTATAAGTTTACCCCATCTAGGAAGAACATACATATTTTCTACTTAAATTTAAAAAGTTCTTTCAAGGACTATAATGTTTAGGGCTGAGGGGCGTGTTCTTTCACAGCATGTAGGTGCCACTTGAGAAGCCCAGGTTTGAGTCCTGTGGCTGCCTACTCTTAGGGTGCAGCTTGGAAGCAGCAGGTGGTAATTCAGGTATTTGGTTCCCTGCCACACAGGTGTGAGGACTGGATGCAGTTACTTCAGGGCACTGCCGAGGGAACCAGTGGATGGGAAAGCTCCAGCTGTCTTTAGTTGTCATTATCCCTAGATCCATTTTCAAACTATTGCAGTCCAGTAACTTCTGGGTGAAGACAAATGGATTGGAGGACAAATACTAAACAATATTAGTGTGGGTTGTTTTGTAAGATTTACTTATCTTGAAAGTCTCAGTTACCTTAGAGAGAAACAGTAATCTCCCATCTGCTGATTGTCTCCCCAAATGGCTGCACTGGACTAGGCCGAACCCACGAGTCAGCAGCTTTATCTGGTTTCCTGGGTCTGTGGCTTGATTCATGTTCTGCTGTTTTTCCCCAGGGCATTAGCAGGGAGGAGGAGTGCAGATAGAAATGGGGCAGCCTGGACTTTACCTGTTGCCCATATAGAATACTGGTATTGCATGCAGCAGTGTTAATTGCTAGGCCACAATGCCAGTCTCAAGGTGATTGGATTATTTTAGTGTCAGCTTAGTCTTAAATTGTCCAATATACAGATGCTTCAGACCGTTCATGGAAATTTTTTTTTACAATTTTTTGTTGTTGTTGTTAGTCTGTCTTGATTTAAAAAGAAAAAACTGGAAAGTCATTTGTAATTTTCTCATGCATTTTTTACATTTTTTTTTTTTTAAGATTCATTTTTATTGGAAAGGCAGATTTACAGAAAAAAGGAGAAAAAGCTCTTCCCTCCACTGGTTCACTCCCCAAGTGGCCGCAACAGCTGGAGCCCTATTTTCGATGTTTTTAAATTAGGATCTCACAACATTCTTGAGCCCAAAATGAATACTTTTTAATTCACTCTTTTTGAAATGTCTTCATATTCAAATGACAGAGCATGACATACTGCAAGCCTCTTCAGCTGTGTTTAATGGGTTAATGCCTGTGAATCACTGGAGAGCAGTAACTATAGATAAGTTCTAATCTTACCTCTGTATTTGCGTTGATGGGATTAGACTGAGTTGCAGCAGATGGATCTGATTTTAATCCTTGGTGAACAGTTCTCCCTATATGGGGATCGTTCCTGGACTGAATGAGTCCCTTCAGTAAAGGTGGATATGTGAACTATCTACTCAAAAGGCTGTATCTTACAGGTTACGTAGTATCATTCCCCCCACACACAATTCTTGCATATTTATTTTGACATAAGAATCAGTATGCTCAAGGTTGGTTGGAGTTGCACCACAGCTTACGCTGCCAATTGAGGTGCTGCATTCCATCTCAGTTAATACTGGAGCCAAGACTTTTCACTATCCAGCTTTCTACTGATGCATCATGGGAGTCAGGTACAGGTGTTTGGGCCTTCGCCACCCACATTTGAAGCAGATAAACTCCTGGGCTCTTGGCTGCAGCAAGGGCCATTCCTGACTACTGCAGGCATTTGGGAAGCAGAACCAACACATCAGTTTATTATTATTCTTTCTCTCAGCCTTCCACCCTTTTTCAAGTAGATAAAACTTTTTTTTTTTAAAGGGAAAAATCAGTATTTCAAAACTTTTAGGGTAAAGAATCTGTATAGGATTACTAGGACTTAGGAAATGAATACCTTGCTTCCAATAAAAGAACATGTGATGTTTCCTGTTCAGTTCTGTGAAAGGAAAAGAAACCAGCATATAATGTTTTGCTTTATGTGTTACTTTAAACTAAGAAGTAGAAACATATTAAAAAATATGGTTCTCTAATGTAGGAGTCATTCATTAGTAAAGTACTGGCCTCTATGAGAAGAGGTCAGGCTCTGACCATATGAAATGTTTCTCCATCTGTATTTTTTAGTTTTACTACATTGTTATCTTCTGAGTACAGACTAACTATAATTTTATATTCATTGCCTTTCCAGGGAAATTGGGATACTTCTGGCAGTGAACTGAGCGAAGGGGAATTAGAAAAGCGCAGAAGAACCCTTTTGGAGCAACTGGATGATGATCAATAAATTATACCAAATATATGTTTACAGTATGATTTAAAGTCTAATTCAGTCCAGGGATTCTATTTTAAGTTCAGTTTAAATAACACTGGGTTTTAATTATCACAGAAAAAAAAGTGCATTTAAGTATTGTTATTGTGGACTTTATAAAAGCAAAAGAACTGAAAATAACTTCTGATTCTGTATCAAGAATCATATTTTCATACGGTCATACAGCTGTGTCTGTGACCCTTTTACAGGGCACTGCAGGGTGGATTAAAGGTGGCAATTTACTGAGAACTGCAGATGTCTCTACTTTGTTCTGAAGTCATGAGGTGATTTGATTTACTTTATAGAAGTTGGATTTTGAAGACATAATGAAAATTTTTGATAATACAGTAGTACAAAAAAAGCACCAGCAACTGATAAAACTGCTTTTTGTGCATTACCCAACTGGTTAAAGCCAATGTGATCTTTTATGGTGAGCTGCTAAGAAATAGGTGTTTTTGATGGAAACTTGGTTAGACCCTTTAAAACTACAGACTTGTGCTAATGAGCACATATAATAAAGCCACCATTATTTTTTATGAAACATCAGACTACATTTTAAAAAGGCTATGTGAGGGCATTATTTTGAGCTTCTATTTTGAGGTAATATTTTTAAAGTTAACATCAAATCAAATTGTAAATTAGTTTAAATATATTGCCTTAAGGACCTACTAAAGAATGTGCCACCAAACTTTAAGTGATAGTTGCAATATCCTTGTCTAAAAAGAAAATCAATGTTGACTTAAACATTCTTTAACAGTTGTCTTGATTTTTTTTTTTAAACCAATTTTTTTTCCACTGAGGAAGTCTTTTACCTTCCCTACTCACTGAGAAGTATTGGCTTGGCTTCATGGTACACATTCTAAAGCATTTCTGATTTGAATATTTTTGTACATTTTTATCAATTATTAAACCTTCTCTTCTAGTGTGTACTAGTATTTATTTCTACTTAAACTGCTTAGCACTAAAGAAATTGTATGATCATTTTGAGATACTACGTCCCTGAGATTGTGCTTCGTCTTACGCACAGTTTCCCTCTTGTAAGAATGTGACAAATCCTTACATTCGAGATCCTTAGGTTTATTTTTCACTTGTGAATTTCCTATGGAATATTTTAGAGAGGCAATGGTTTAAAGATAGAATACTCCTTACAGGCCAACTTTTAAAGTTGGTAATGTAATTTATACTATTTTCCTTCAGTGCAGGAATTTTTTTGTTTTTGCTTTTTTGTTTTTAATAAATTTTAGTGCATAGTCTTTGGAATTATCTTTGTTATTTTAATTTTGTCATTTTCAGAGACAGTATTTTCTATTGGGATTTAGAACAAGAAGTTTTCCCCTCACCATCTTTAGTTTGATAGTGGACCTGAGCAGGATGGCAATTTGTTCCTCAAAGGGAATGTATCCAAGTGTCCAATGTTTAAAGGCTGATGGGGAAAAGTTGTTACTGAACTTGGCTGTCATTTTTCTCTATGAAGTATGACATGCCTTTGTAGAAAGAATCATTACCTTTAAGAAAACGTGATTGAATGGTTTGCTTGAGATTAGCCTTCTGTTGTATATTAAAGTCCAAACTTAACAGCTTGGGCAATAGTGAATTGCCTCATCGTAATTTTCAGAAGTCTTGTTGTAATGATAGTTAAGATTGCTAATCATGTCAGACTAAGACATGGAAGTCAGTGATCAAGTTTTCAATATGCATATGATACTGGGAGATATACTAGTAAGAAAATAGAATCTGTAAAACATTGTTTTAATTATTTCCATGAATGATTTTAAGTAAAACCTTAAAGTTTTGATTTTTCTATTTAAATAAAAAGTTATTGATATGTTTTAGCATGTCCTTAAAATAGATTTCTGTATTTCTTATAATTTTATCACAGCCTAAATCCCAGTTACAAGACAGTAAATTCAGATAGCTGGGTTTGAAAATCATCTGATCTGAAAACAAAGGGTCAACAATTTGCAAAACAAAATTTAAATCCTTTCTACAGAAAGATTAAATGAAATGACTGTAACCCTTTGGCTTCCCTTAATGGTCCAGTCAATGGATTTTAGTGGCTGGAATCTTACCAGGTTGGTAGGAAGATTTTGTTCCCTATGAATACTATGTACTTAATAGATTGTAAGTCTTCAGTTGGGTAAAAGCTGAAATAGCTTACAAAGTTGATTAGTGTTGAGCAGAAATGTTCAGACAGAAAAGCATGTTTAGTTTCCAGGGGAATTTATGTTTCGTAATGAATACTCAGGCTGTTTATCCCACATCATCGTTAATAGTACCTAATGCATGAAACTCACTGGTGTTTGATACTGTCAAAAAATAGGGATCTTAGATATGAGATAGCTTACATTTTCTTTCAGTTCATAATTCATGGGGAATGGAATTTGTATTTACAGTTAGATAATTTAGCCAATCACGTACAAAAAATGTGTGCTCTCCCTTAGTTGAGTTTAAATAATGGAGCCATTTAAATAAAAAAGCAATGGTAATACCATGACAGTTTTTTCAACTTAGTGGCTAGCATTTTGCGATTACCCAGAGTAGCTTCGTAATACAGATTGTTCATGTTTCTGGACATAAAGTACGTTTTATACCTCCCAATTTGGCAATCATCAAGTTATTTGACTTTGCATAAGTAGCCCTCACAGTAAAGGAGGATTATCCTGAAATAGAGCAGTTAGTTTATAACAGAACGGTAAAGCAACTACAAAAACTCCTTGAATATCTTCTGTTTCTAGAAAGCAATTCAATTAAAATAGCTTAATTCAATTAAAATTGCAAATACCAGTTACACTTTTAGGAGCATTTACCTAGAATTCTGACTTTCTTGCTAGGGAGCCATTTTCACTTTTGCCACTGGAAAAGAATGACTCCTTTAGAAAAAGAATTTTTATAAAGGCTGTGGGAGAGAGGACAGTGCTTAATGAAATATTGCACAGGGAAGAGGGTGATTGATACCTATTTTTTATGTTTCTAGGCCATTAGGTTACAGAATCCAAATGCAAATTCTAGAACTAAAATGCTAGCTGTTAAATCTTAAAGCAGTATTTCTGAAGATAATTGGAGCAAAATGTATTTTATGCCTTTGTGTTTAAAAGAGTGTGAACTCTTCTATCCAGATATGACTGGCCCAAAGTCTGGACCCATGGCCTTTCCTACACAGATGCAAGTGACATCCTCCACTGCTTTCCCCAGGCTCAGTAGCAGGAGCGTAAGTGAGGCAGCTGGGACGTAAAGCAGCACCCATATGGGATGCGTTTATTGCAGGTGGCAGCTGGGTCATTGTATTACCACAATGTGGCCCCCTATAATGTGCTTTTATCTTAAATCTGAGACATTCTGTTTTCCTTGAGGTTTGTTTTTTTTTTTTTTTCTCTGTCTCAGTATCAGGTTGATTTTGATTTAGCCACCTTAGATTCTCTATGTAAAGTCACTGACTTGCATAAAGGAAAATGTTATTGTCATGGAATTGTTCTAGTAAGCATATGAGACTTATCATTCTTACCTTCATTTTTCTTACCTTGTTCTCTTCGTTGGTGTAAAAAGTGGTCATAGAAGTTCCTCGGTGGCCAGAATTTGTTTGATTTACTGCTGCATGTATACACACACACACACACACACACAACCCTTTTGTGGCTTAAGACAGTGCCTGACACATAGAAGCAGTAACTGAAGGAATGAAAATATTTTTATTTAGTTATTCAGCATATGAAATATGCATCATCTGTATAAAAAGGCTTTGAAAAAGCTTTATTGCAGGAAACCATACTAATGCACAACCAAGACCACAATCAATATTTGTCCATATAAAATAATTACTTCAGAAGTATCTAAATTCAAAGCTAAAAACTAGTCATTTGTGTCTATTTCTAAATGTTGGTGAATCGGTTGGTGGCAGGAAGTTGACTGTAGGTTACAGTGGAAAATGGGAAATGATTTTGCTTCATTCCCACACACCCCTCAACTCTCCATTTTCGTTTATCCAGTTAAAATTACTTAACCACTCTAGTAAATTTTATACTTTTAAAACTTTCCATATAGAGACTGGTAAATTTTTTTCAGTAGGATCTTAGGCAAGGTTATCTCAGTGTTACAGCTTAGCAATTAATAATTGATGCTTGCATTGCACAAGAATTGGCATATACACACCATTATAGATTATGAAACAGCAAGTAGCTGACCTAGTGAGATCCAATTCAAACTGCATCATTTGTGCTATGCTGTGCTGTTCTTCAGGATAATTAAATGTGTAAGTTTGGTCCTGCCTGCAAACTTTCCTGGTAGGTGTTGGTCTTAACCTACCTCTGCAGCTGAGCTGAGGACTGGTTCTGAAAGGTGAGTAATGGAAAATGACATTTTTTTGTTTTCTATGTTTGTAATAACCAGATTATCACTTGTTTGTTTTCATGTAAAGGATTTCTTACAAAGTTAGGTCTTTTGTAAATAAATTAGAAAACCATCTTTTACTAAATAAAAGATTTGTATCAATGTTTCCATTTACACACTGGTCGTAGTAAGCAGTTCTGGTTTGTGAGTTTCAAGAAGCCCCGCATCCTGTTTTCTGAATGTAATACCTTTTTTTGGTGAAATGTTAGACCAAAAAAAAAAAAAAAAAAAACGATCAACACTTCATAAATCTGTTTCTTTGATTGTTTCTTGGGAATAGCAAGGGTACTAGATTTTGCAAAGAGATGAAAAACAATAATCCCTCTGTATTATCTTTGTAGATATTCCTGGTAAAAGTATATGAGGGCAGTTTTATCAAAAATTAAAATAGATACTTTATTATCAGTTCTATAATTCACATGTATCTTAAAAACTGGGTATTAAAGTGTTGAATAAAAGCATTCATTCACCTGTATTGAGTCCCATTCATGCTGAAGCAGAGGGAGTCAGGAAACTCACTGAACGCCACAGTATATACTTCAGTGTTAGAAAGCATGGTAAGTGGAGAACAAAGAGTCTGAATTCAAACATCTTTCTGCTAAGCCTAAACTATGGCCTTATTTGAACTTAATTGCTGTAGTTTGGATCTGAACACATTCTGAATTTGTGGACTAAATTAGTTTTGGCAAAATATGCAACTGGAACCAAAGCATTGGTACTTTTCCACCTAGTATTGCTTTTTGTTTGTTTGTTTTTGGTAGAACACCCAGATGAATATTTGTGGGTCGTGGAGGAAAGAGATTTCAAAACCCAAAAAAGCAATTCCTATGGCAATAGTAAGCTCATCAATACAGATTGTAGTTTGCTCAAATAGGAAAAGATTTTTCCTCAAATCAAAGCATTTAAGCTCAAATAGCAAGATGGGTCTACACAAAAAAATCCACCAGAAGGTATCACTGAAAGATTACAACATATTACAGAATAGTAGTGTAAATAGTTTATTTGCTCATATGCCATGAAAAGACCAGAAAGGTAACATGAATTGCTTTTATAAAACATTTCTAATATTGCTAAGAAGCAGGCCCATTAATAGACAAACAGTAAAGAACATGCCAACATCATTGTCTATTTGAAGAATAAACAAGCAATGGTTCTCACATGTATGCCAGCACAAAGATTTCAAAAATAGCTGCTTTGTAGTAAATTTCCAACTATTGTGTCTTGTGTACCTCCAATCAAATTGCTATTTTTACCAGAATGTATTTTAACTGAAAGACAAAATGTTGGCATGTTCTTTTTTTTCTGCAGAGTATACATTATGGAAATGTACCACCGAGTGGCAGCTCAAAAGTAATCTGTAAATAGGTATACTAAAGTGAAATGTAACAGATCTCTAGGCTGTTCTTGTAGTTAAATATATTTAATAAAAAAAACTATAAGTTAAAATAACATTCAGATTGTATAGAGTAGGCTGCTGAATTTTAAAGCAATATTTACAATTATTACCCAGAGGCTTCGGTGGGAATTAAAGAGAAGTGTAAAAACCATAAAAAACTGCACCGATTTTATAGCAAAATATCTGTACATTTAAAAAGAGGTCATATAACTACACGTTATCCAAGGAAAGGTGACCTTCACCCAAGGGCTCACATAAGCACAACATAAAATAAACTCAGTGGTTAAATACTATACAATAAACTTTACAATTAATATACTGATGGTAATTACCAAGAAGGTAAGCCAGAAGCAGAATGTGCGTTATTAAAAGTATAGCTTCAATCCAGTTTTTCACTTTGGAATGGGTCAAGCGCCCTTCTGGGGGGGAGGGGGGAGAGACAAACTTAATCACAATGTATTTTTCAATAAATGTACCTCCCCATAAGGAATTTGGGGATTTAGCTTTAATGTGTGATGCCAAATGTATCATCTTCAATTTACAAAGAGAAACAGATTGGGGTGGGGGGGGGGAGGGAAACACCTGCGATTGTCAGGAAAATAAAAGCCAGGTTCCTAAAACTACCCTGTTAGCAAATGTAATTTTGAATATTTGTTGACAAGAGCTAGTGAACTCCCTGGCTAGGAAGGCACCAGTTTCTACTCTTAGGATTTTTGAAGACCATTATAGGTAGATCCTAATACTGAGATGTTAAATTAGTGCCAGTTAATAAATATATTTGCATTATTTTAAAAAGCTGCCTTAAGCGGAAGAACAGTACTGCAGTTAAGTCTCAAGATGGCATTTTACGCCATCATATCCTTGCATTCAACCCAGTAACCATCTTGGACAGGGCATTATACCCTAGCACAGAAGGAAGATGCAACACTAGAGACAAAGTTGAGTGACTGACTTATGTGTCACTGCAACTGCATCTCATTTGCGCTTTGCCAGGGCTTAGGTAATGGACAGAAGTAGTTCATCATGTGACTTGTCACTTGCAAGTCCTTATAAATACAAAACTGGATGGATATAGCTGAAACACAAAATTCCTTAAGACGTTTCAGCAAAAGAAGCCCATAGCAAATGCAACCATGTTACAATTTATCAGGATACCAGGGTAGACCATGGTGCAATCAAAATGACAGGTAATGAATTTCATACGAAATTTACATTTTGGTTTAAAAAAAACCAATTGGTGTTAAAAAAAATAATCAAATCAAATCCTATTGCTTTGATTAATCTGAGCAGGTATTTCCATTTTTTAGGCACTTGTTAACAAGGTTTGAAAGAAAAGCCCATCATTATTTCTATGTGGTTGCTAAATCCGAGCCCTTAAAAATATTTTATCTGTGTGCAAGGCTGCAGTTAAATAATAGCACATAAAATTTATGTGGGCAGTTTTCATTCATGCACACCCTCTTCATGTAGGCAGGTTCCTGGAAGTCACATCGTTATTTCCGCACCATTAACAGAACGCAAGTTTTGTTCATCAAAGCGCCGCCTGACACTTCTCCTCACCGCATCGGCTCTTCTATATGGTTGGTTTCTAAGATCTGTAAAGAGGAGAGTGGCCAATGAAAGAATAGCAACCTTTCATACCCTGTGTCTTAAGCAAGACAAAGGCCAGCTGGCAGCCAATCAAAGCAGCTTGTGAAGAGTCAACTATTGGGCCCTTCAAACTCTGAGCATTGGACCAAAGCATGTGCATTTGCCTTAATATTTACAATCAAGATAGGATGCAGTACTCATTAAGATTTTGGGACTTGGAGAGAGAAATATACAGGAGATTATTTCTAGCACTGACTAGAAAGACTGGTGACATTTTTATTATAAGATTTCTTGAAATGGAAGCAGCTGTGGCTTAGTTTTCTCTGGAAGCCTAGATAACATCCTTAATTACAGTTCATTGTAAACTGCAAAACATGTATCTGATTGTCCCAACCTACAGTAGACAGGTACAGGTTGTTATTTTTATTCCATTAGGCTTACCACAGTTACTTTATCATTTGGGGTATTAACCACACAATGCCCAGTTTATAATGAAAGCTACATTGAATAATTGAGTCCCCGAGTACTTTTTCCTGCCACACAATATTTGTTTCATCATATTTGGGAGATATGAGCCATTCTGTTTTCCAGCTTACATAGGCAGTGCACAGATGCCTGACAAGGAAAGGAGGGAGGGACATTTGGCATAGCGGTTAAGACATCACTTGAGATGCCCACATTTCGTGTCACAGTGCCTGTGATTGGGTCTCTCCATGGCTAATTCCAGGTTTCCTGCTTGTGTGCATCCTGGAAGGCAGCAGGGATGGCTCAAGTACCTGAGTCCCTCCCATGCCCAAGAGACTCAGATGGAGTTCTAGCTCCTAAGCCAGCAGACAGGATTGCTTCCCACTCAAAAACGGGGAAAAACTAGAAATAGCAATCACCACTTCCTAGTTTAAGAAGATACTGCTCTGTTGGGATAAACAGAGGAACATTACAAATATATAGATGCTTTCTTGAATAAGGTAAAACAGCCTAGATGGCAATCAACATCTTTTTGATGAAGTTAGGACATAATGGGGGAAAAAATAATAAAGCTGACTTTATACTCCCCTCCCTGTTCTGAACAGTATTGGGGTCTTCAAACAGCTCACAGAAAACGAACATTGAAAACACGGATTTCAAAATCTTTTGCACCAAAATATCTTAATTCTGCATATTTCCCTTTCATTAACTTAGTATTGTTGACTTCTGTCAGGAAGGGAAATAAAAACAATTTAGAATCAATTTTTTTTTTTTTACCTCTTCACTTGTTCAATTGAAAATAGAGCCACTGAGCCATATGCAGTTTACAAAATGTCCCATCACCTCCCATATTCTCAGTTTCTTGAGTTTTTAATATGGAAAATAAAATGAGGACTAAGGTGTCTGAATTCTCTTGAAAAAATGAAATCTATGGCTTTACTGGGTCCAGTAAGGTCAAGCTGGGGCAGGTTCAGCCACCCCCCTGGGGCCTACCCTTCCGGATCTGTCATTCCTGTTCCCCTTCTAAAGTCAAGAATTTTGTATGCTCTATTCCTCTTGAGCACTGGCATCCTAAACTAGACTGGTAATAAAAGGCCAGAAGCCCACTTTTGGCCAAGAATCCAGTCATTAGATCTTTGAAGCAATTAGTTCTAAAATCCTGCTTCCTCAAAAGCTGTAGATTATGTTTCTATGCCAGGGCCTGTCCTCAACCTTCAGATCAAAATGGAGTTAACTGAACAACATGAAGGCTGAGAAAGCAGCAATGGAAGGACAGCCTGGAACTCAAACCAAGTACCACCATCAACACCCATTGTGTTGTTCATCATTTTTGGAAACATGGAAGCAGGCCAAGAAAGAGTTGAGAGAGGAGCCCAGCTTTATATCAGTGGAATATGAGTACAAATGACTTCCCCTGGTCATACTGTCACCAGCATTACCCTTAGCCATAGATTGAAACCATTGATCTGCAAACAGAGACAGGAGGGAAGCTAAGTAAAAAGTGATGCTTGCCAGCTCTGTGTATCCTCCACCACCGGTGTGCTAGAAGAAATCCTTACCCTCGAGTGAACATTTGGAAATTTAGTGATATTATTCTTCTTTAAGGCTAAACAGAAAAAACAAAAACACAAAATGATGGTTAAGTAAAAATGGGATGAAAATGGAAAGCAACTCAACTTAGTGCTTAACATTCCTGGGCACGTTAGCCAACAGAGGAAGAGACTAGAAGGCCATTACTATCAGAAGTGTTAGATGAAACAAGGGAAGCTTGAGTGTCTGCCCACCCAGCTCTGACCACCCAGTTCCAAGCTGCTTTGAAGATTGGCTCCAGAAAGACAGTTCAGCAATAACACTAACTAACAATAAGCATAGACCAAGCAGATGAATTTCTAGCCTTGTTAATATACGTAGGTAAGCACACAGCAGAGCAAAGACATACAGCGCCCTTTGAGGCATGAGACAGAAACACAACAAGCTCAAATCATAGTCATTCCACAAAATAAACGCCCAGTTCCATGTCAATCTCAGCATAACAGTCAATCCATAGGCACTAGAGAAAAGCTTCACAATCTAAGCCCGGTAAATTACTTATTGAGAAAATCTGGTCATCTTTGACTTCTAACAACAGTGGCACTTTCCAATGACAGGTATTTGCTGTTGTTATTTCTGGTGCCAATATCCTAATTCAAGAAGCAGGTGCAATCTCCTCACAGAAGAAATATGCTGTGTTTGACATGGAATGAAATAGCAGTGAAGAGGTGTGGATGAGAGTAAGATGGCAGGGCCTATGTTTTCACTTTCACCTCATAGCTTTGCTCCAATATGGAACTATTCACAGTAGGCTTGAGGAAAGAGTTGTGACTGGCCCAGGCTGGGCTGTTAGGAGGCCACGGCCTGCCTCACAAGCAAACAGGCTTCTAAACCACAGCAAGGTAAAGATCACACCATGAATTCCACTACATTACAAAGTCTGTAAGATGGCCAAGAAGGCTTACTTTACACTACGCACTGCTCCCTGCTCCTGGGAATCATTTTGTCATCTTAGAATTTTTTGCATTGTTGTATAACAGGTTATTGTACTGTCAAGCAATGTTAACCAGGTATTTTTGTGTTTTAAAAAGAGCCTAGTTTAATGTCCTTAAACCTAGCAGATTGTAATAAGTACTCAGTCAACGTTAGGCATAATAATGACTGTGCCTGATGACAGTATCATTTTGCATCCCAATCTGTAAATTTAAAAATGCTAAAAACAATTCCTCTGTCCCAAGCCTGACTTTCAAAGAAGTGCTCTATTTACAATTTGTCTGCACATTTCTTCAAGCAATTCTATGAACTGTCAATCATGCCCAGACTGTTACAGCAATGTGCATGAAATGTACCGAAAAATGGCAATGAACGAGTAATAATAAAACGCAAAACCATGCACCATGAAGGCAGCATAAAACACAACATGATGGAGGTGACAGTTCCATGCTTACACTTGGGCTGGCCCCAACAGACACGCAGAGGGAGACACTGGTTATCAAACACAACACAACAAACAAAACCTGTAGCAACCTTTTAGGAGCATCAGGTGAAAAAGAGCAATAGTTTAGTAATGGTATTCCTCAGTGAGAACAGGTTCGCAGAAAAATCGAGAGCCACGCTTGGCGGTGCGCGCGGTAAAGGGCACGGTCTTCAGCACTGCGTTGAGAATGACAACCAAACAACACAAACAGAAGAGAGGAGAGAGCCAAGATCCACCGCATTAGTTCATGGTTAGTGCGTTGTTAATCACACTGGGGACAGAGGTGGGGAGGGCAGCCAGGAAACAGGGAACATAGTCTACTCAGTTCATGGACGTCTTGTTAAAGAGTTTTTTCTTTTTTCCAACCAAGGGCTTAGGAGTGGACCAGAAAATGGAAAAGGTTCAAAGGAGAATGAAAGCTTCTCCATAAGCTGATAGTCATTCACGTCTGGTAGTTGAACCATTTAGGTCAGGCACATTAGGAAATGGCCATCACATGCCTCTCATGAAGCCAGGTATCACTGAGACAGGTGACAGATGGTGAAAGAGAACGTCCCAGCCACATGCTTCCCTATCTACCCAGTTCATTTTCTGGTGATGCTGAGACTAACAGGTGCTTACCGAGGCCGGAGAGATGTTCCTGGTGTGGTTTATGGCAGAGTTCTCTCCCGGTATGGAGCAGGCAGGGACACAGGCTCAACACTGGGGGCTGTTACTGAGGGCCTCTGCAGGCCACTCAGAAACACCAATGGGCACACATGTATCCGGTGCCTGGCTCTGGGTGCCCATTCACCACTCACCTATTCCCCTAGTACTGGCACTGCTTCCATCTGAACACTTAATGACTCTGTTTTAAAAAAGAAATCTATCAATTGGTCTTATCTATTTGTCTTATTTATCTGTTTTCCTGGGTCAGAGTTAGTGAAAAATATGTGGTTTTCAACTCTCTACAGTACTGGCTGAACTACTGAATAAGAAGTGAAAAGATACAAATAAAAATTGATTTTTAAAAAATAAGACAACTACGGAAATGTAAATAGTATCTAATATTAAGAACTTATCATCTTGGATAACAAGTAAAAATGGTACTGTGGGCATATTTCGATATATTTTTGTTTTGGTTTGTGTTTTTCAAAGGTACAAAGTGAAGCATTTCCAAGTAGAAACACATGTACAGCATGTGCTGTGAAAGAGTCCCACTGAGGACCTGGGGGCTCCTCATACTCTTTTCTACACTCTTGTGCATTTTTAAAGAGTGAAGTATCTCAGAAGCTGGTAAACAGCATTCGTGTGCAACAGACACAAAAGAAAACTCATATGGTGCCGTAAGTCTTGCTAAAAGATTATGGCTGGGTGTTTTCCTCCTCATCTGGAAGGGGAAAACACAGCGATGAAGACTTGGTTCAAACACGAAACACTCGGCTGAAAGAGCTGTGCTGGGTTCAGCACACTTCCCAGCTAACGGAATGGTCAGTCTCCAACCCTGGGCTAGAAGCCCACTGGACCATTCAAACGAAGGGATCAGGCCCTGGCTTCCTTTTGATTGCAGTGACTCTGAATAAGTGAGCTGGTGACTCAGGAGCATGCTGGAAGAGCCTGCATGGTGGGTGGTTAGTGCTGAGCTGACGAGGTCTTAGCTGCATTATTAATTTATCAGGCAGGTGGGTAGGAGGAAAATGGAGCATGATAACAAACTGAAAATAACAGAAAATCATTGGGAGAAACAGCACTGCTGAAATCCACAGGGTTCCAATGATACTAAGAGATACGACTTTTTTTCTAGAGTGCTGGGCCAGTAAGCATGCTCCTGTAATGTACTCTGACCCCTAGCATGGAGTGTCTGGGTATGAGGCTGGATCGGAACGAAGGTGCAATCTCAGCACAAACGATGTTGCCTGTGGCCCAGTCCATGTGAGGCTGGTGGAATCTCCACGAGCCACACCATGGAAACACACTTTACCTGTGATAATGTCTTCAATGGCACCGTCTTTTCCCTCGTACACATGTCTGTTATCTTTCACTTGCCGCCTTCTTAACTCTGCAATCAATTCTTGTTGCTGCCTCTTTGACTTATGGGAAGGAGACTGAGAAGAAAGGAGGACAGACATTAGTAGAGTCAGCAAGCCCCCACTGGCGATTTCAGCACACTCAAAATGTGTCTGAATACAATGTTCCTAATAAGCAGCCTCAGCCCAAGATCTCAGACGGCATGATCCCAACGCTCTGTCCTAACACAGACTCAGAAAGCTGCTGGGGAGAAGACCAAGATTCAGAAGAGACAAAACTCCAGTCAGCATCAAGGGGAAGGCTGGGTCCTACAGCCACAGCAGCAGCTGCTGACAAACACAGACCTGTTCTACTGTACTCAAAGGAAATGTGCACCTGCTAGCCTTGCCTGATGACACTATCCTTCCAGCAAGCCCTCCAGGCATCAAGGCCATTAGGAAAAAACAGCATGAACCCTTTGCCCCCCACTCTTCAAGTCACCTGCTAACATTTAGCCAGCTAACATTTTAGTTTCCAATCTATCAACTTAGAAATGTTACGTAAACATTCACTCAGCCTTATTCCAGTGGTAGTTTGAACAGTCACAGAGGAGCAGCTTCCCATTTGTTAAGCTTTTCAGTCTTGGACCCGGGCAGGTGGCCTTGCTGCCCTGCTTACTGCTTGCCCACACATGCTCCAGGGGCCTCTCCTTGCATGGGCACCCAGCACAGGAACAGGGCATAGTTTACCTTTGGGTCCTGTTGTTCCATCAGAGCTTCCTGCTCCAGGAGCTTCGCCATGAGAGCTTGTTCCTGCTTCTTCCTCAGCTCATTTTCCTCCTCTGCTTGCTAGGTCAATCAAAAGAACCAGAAAGATCACATCAGTGGAAATGACAGTAGTCAAGATTTTTCTAAGTCATTCTTTGAGAATATCTATAGTGAATCAGGAATTACAGGTAAATGCAAGATGGAGGAGACAGACCCATGCTATCCATATTTAATGCCATTGTCTATCCCACCATCTCCAAAGCTGCTCACTGACAATGCCCTCCCTGCACAAAATTCCCTTCCTAACGATCCTATGATCTTGGTGTCAGCCCCACAGGCCTGGGGACAGCTGGCCTGCTGGCACCTGTGCTCAATGACTTTCACGTGACTTTGTGTGGCTACCAGCATCTGTCTACCTGCCTCTAAGCTTTGCTAAAAGCAGAATGGACCAAGTCTTGCCCCCACCTCAACTGGTCTTTTGCCCAACTGTTGGGGGCAAATCTCCACTGCCCTGATCTCTTGTTACACTGTTATAGGAGGAGAAATGAAAGAGGCTAGAAAGATTTAAAAAAAAAGAAAGCAAGCCGAAAATACATATTATTTTGCACGCTTGATTTTCTAGCTGTAGATCAGAGTAGGCATTAGGAGGGGTGATGACAGATAAATAAACACTGAGGCTCTCTTTCAAAGCCAAACTCCCTGAAAGAGACTTCTACAAACTCTCAGACAGGTCACCTCTCTAAATTGGATTTGAAGTACAAGTTCACAGACAGATCCTTCAGCCTCAGAGATACACCTTCTGTCAGAAAGTTTGATCTCTGTTGCTTCTGTCTTCAATTTCATTTTAGATCATATTTGGGAAAGGAAAAGGGGAATATCATCCCCAAACCCCTGCCTCTTTCCATAAAGTGCCCATGTTGGTGGCATGAGGAAGACCTTTTATAATGTGGCTGCCTGCCAAGCAGCTCACTGAAGTGGCTCAGAAGGCCACCAGGGGAAGGGACACAGTGGAGGGAACACTTAGTGCACCATCTGCTCTGCTCAAAGCCTTGCTGAAGGCTGGAGTTTTGAGGCCAGCTCCAGGCATGACTCAGCTCATTGTAGTGGCATCTATTTCACATTTTGAACTCAGAATGCCACCTCTGTGGCTCAGCGCCGCCACCAGCTGCCAGCCAAGCACACTCTTGTCATTCCCAGCCTCCAGGGCCTTGTACACGGGAATTTTTGTGCTGTGTCTGTGCCCTCCCACTGTCAAGACACCTTCCTCCTGCCAGCAGCTTATGGGAGCCTTGCTACATTGTCTGCTCAGAGAAGATGGCTCAGTATTCTAACATTTGGTGTCTCAGGGGATCAGCCCCAGGGGTGACAGTAAAGTCTCCCATTTCCAATTAATTCCCCCCTAAAGTCCAGAAAATCCTGCTACATCCTTCAGCAAACACATCTTCCACTGCTGAGATCAATAGGAGACACAGCTAAGCCTCAAAAGTACAGACTGCGAAGTCTTCTAGGTGAGACAGAATCTTAATGCCTCCGCCCTTGTTACTCCTTCTCAAAGAGCAAGTTCTTTGGACACAGGCCTCTGGGTCAAACACTATTTCTAGCCTGTGGTCCTGGTTTTATCTGAGACAGCCTCCACTGGGACGGTATGTTACTGACCCAGGCAACAAACAGGGGCATCCACTCTTGACAGTGCTGCCCTCAGTGGACACTGGGACAGCCCTGGTCAGGGTCTTAGGGCGGGGCTAGGATCTGCTCTGAGGTTCCCTGCCCACAGTTCTCCATCTTTGCCATAAGGGTTCAGTACTTCTCACTAAACAATTCTATGAGAACACTGGATTTTCTAAGCCCCTTATCTGGTCTATGTGGATCAACACGAAGCAAGGGGTGCCAGGGGGCTTGGCTTGCAGTACCTCACTCCAGGAGGGGGCTGCTAAGAGCTTTTCTTTTTCTTGCTAGGGTCTGGGATCGGTCCAGTGGAGAGAAGGCCAACCTGCCCGAGGGCCCCAGAGCTCTCAGATTCCAGCACCCAGTCTTGCTGCCCTAGGCCGGCACCAGGTGGCCCAGGCCTCGGCAGCTGCGTCTCCAGGACGCTGTCTTCCTGATTACCTTATAAGCTTTCACAAAGCGAACAAAGACAGGAAAGAAGACGGAGGGTGGTGTTGTCTTGGGGTTCTCTCCAAAGTACTTAACCACATCGTCAAAGGCATCCTGTGAAGAAACACAATGCTCATGAACTTCATTCCAACACTTGAACTTGAAATTCCGGGAACAGTAGCCACTGCAAGCTACAACCTCTAGTGCCTGCTGCCTCCCCACATCCTCTTCAGACTGCATGGCACCCCACAGGTCCCATTAAAGGCACCCAGAGAGAGCAACAGCAAGACACAAGAATTCATCTGTAGCATCTCCTAACCCTTCTACAAACCAAACCCGTCCTTCCCACATACAGACATTAAATCTGGAGCCATTTCCTTTAAGAGTTTCCTTTCTTATAATCAGCAAGGTTAGAAGGAATCTCTGGAATCACATGAACTTCAAACCCACATTTCTAACTTCCAGGTACCCAAAATACACCCACATGGGAGCCACACAAATTGTTCAAGTCTCTAATAAAACTGTTCTGTGATAAAGGGCAGCCACAAATTAGAGACCAACTCCACAACGTCTACTTTCTGAGCTCCCCCAACATTTTGCTTCCTTTATATAACCATATGTAGTTCGCTGTTACACAGGTTTGTTTATGTGAGGTGACTTCAAAGAAGTAATGGAAAATTAAAAAAAAAAAGTGGAATAAAAACCTAAAATTGTATTTGCAACATAAACTCCATCTGTGTAAGACATTTGTGTAATGCTATCATTTAGTCCATCCTTATAGGACTGAAGATCTTGGTAATGTTACCACGACAACATAGTCTTTTTAAAATTAACTGGGGAAATAATGAGCGCCTGACACTTGTTGAATTGAATACAGGACCCATCCAGGAGGGAGTCTAAAGGCAGGCCAGGAGGGCTTCTACTGATGAGGATCATGATCCTAAACTGGAAAGCGACAGGAGCAGAACAATGCACTACCAAGGAAAACCACAGCGAACAGTCCACATTTAGTTAGCTCTGTCTGCATAGGAAATCCAACATTTCCTCCCCAAAGGAGCCTGCACCCCAGGGCTTCAAGGCATCCAGTGTCTTCCTCTCTGTGGATGTCGCCAGGTGGCAGCACTGACCTGGGCAATCTTGGCATCATCCTGCAGTTTCTTCAGCTTTCCCTCATGGTTGAGGATGAACTCCTTCAGCAGGGTGTTGTGGTCGTGCATCGTGTACTCCCGCTTGGTCAAGTCCATGCCCCTCTGGAGCTCCTTCACATCCAGCAAAACATTCTCGAGAGAGACTGAGGGAGAAAAGGCAGTGTCCCAGTGAGTGAGTCCCTTCCCAAGGGAAGCCAAGTTCTCAGGCAGTGGCTCCTAGGTTTACTCTTTCATGGAACTTACACCTGGTCTCTAGTTTTCACGCATAGACCCCTCAGCAAGAATAATCCACAAGCGTTCACTATGAAACACTATATTAAATTCTTCATAGGGACTAATTCATGAGTTTATTTTGCCAGTATGGCAAAGTAGCTTTAGAAGGTTCCACGTCCTGTCCTGGGTCATGTGGCTAACAGATGATAGAGAAAAAGTTCAGGTTGCAGCTAAGAAGTCCAAATTCATTTCTATCTAGGCACAGAAGGGCCTGTGATGAGTCCATGACAGCTTGTTCTGCAGCTCTCCAGCAGGTGGCAGCATCTTTCCTACTGCACTTTCATGGTACTGATGAAACAGCAACCTCAGATAGATGCTTTTTGTGAAACCACCCTCTCTGCTTCAGAAAGGCTTAGTAGGAGCCTTCCCAATGGCAGCATGGCTGCCTCTCAGGGTGAGCACCCTTCAGGAGCCTCCCTAGTCTGCCTCCCAACAGAAGTCAGGTAGAATGAGGCCAGACCTTGGACTCAATTCCACACAGGGATGAGCTATAAGAAAATGAAACACAGTCTTGCCCAGACTCACATTGTCTCATTTATCTTTGCTTCCCCAATACTTAGGACAGTGCCAACCACACAGAAGCCACTCAGAAGTGTTCCCTGTAGAAGTGAAAGACTGAAGACAGGGGAGAGGATGCAAAGAATGTGTGGTGGCCCACGAGCACAGCAAGGGGCCAGCAGAAAAACACCCACCCCGGAGCACCCTGATCTCCCCATTCCCCTGTCAATCTCTTTGTTCAAATAATACATTCTGGAAATTCTGCTTTGGACAAACAAAATGTGCTAATTACACTTAGAAAGATTGTAACTTTCATAACACTTTCTTAACTAGAATTACAATGCTTAAGAACTCTTAAGCAAAGGCAAATCTGAAAGAGCAGAAATTTTAACCACCTCACCAGCACTTAAGAGATCTCTCCTGGCCTATAAAATCATTTCCATCTGCCTCTCAGCCTCCGATAGGCTCTCAGCACTATCTACTCCAAGAACAATGCTGTCATTCCATTCATTTGTTCATTTGCTCATCCATTTATTGTCACCATCCAATTAGCCAAGGTCTGATAATTGTAAAGATAAATAAAGCAGGGCCAGATGCTGTGGAGCAGTGAATAAAACTGTTGCCTGTGACACTAGCATCTACTATGGGTGCTAAGACCTGGATGCTCTATTTCTGATCCAGTTGTCTGCTAAAGGCCTAGGAAAAGCAGCAGAAGCTAGGCCAAGTGGTTGGGCCCCTGCCATGTGCTAGGGGAGACATGGATGAAACTCCTGGCTCCAGCCAGGCTCAGCCACAGTTGTTGCAGCCATCTGGGGAGTGAATAAACAGATAGAAGACTCTCTTTCTCTGTCTCTCTCTCCCCTTCGCTGTAACTCTGACTTTCAAATAAATACTTTTTTAAAACAAGAAATGAACCTTACTATATCCTCATAAAGTACAGAGACTGCAATAGACATGCATGTTGTAATAGCAAAATGTGACAAATCATGTACTAAAGGGTCATAGGGAGCCCTCTTAGCCTGAGAAAAGCAGAGAAGGCTTCACCTTCGAACATCAGCTAAGTCTGGGGTAGACCTCAGGAAACTGATATACTAACAAATACTGGCTGCTATGATTCAGGATCATAATCTGAAAAATCACAGCGTGTAAGTAACTCTAAAAGCAGTATGCATGCCCTTACTTTTTCTAGCATTCTGGTAAAAGGACATGAGTATATCAGATGATAGACTAGCCAGAAAAACAGCTGGGGTTCCAGTCTTGTTTCGAACACTTTCCACTCACAGACCCTTAGGCTAACCTCTGAAATTCAAATTTCCTCATTTATACCCAGCGATCTTATTTCCTATGCATCCCAGGTATCTCAGAGTCACCAGTGATTGAAATCAGAAAATGCAGAAGTGCTGGCAATTTGGTGACAAGGCAAAGGCACACGGTTAGAATGGCACCATGCCAGCTAGGGTGGTGGGACGCAGGCAAACTAAACATGCTTCTTTGACTGGGTAAGTCTCACATACACATTTTCTATTTGAGACAACAGCAACAGAAAAGCAGGGTGAGGAATGGGAGACTTCAAGGCTTGGATCTTCTCACAGAGATCACTTCCTGCCCACACTCACAGCCACTGTCAGGTGTGAATACTGCCATGGCTATGTGTTCTAGACCAGAGCTTCTGCCTTGCCAGCCTTGCCTCTTAGATGGGTTCTGAAGAGTGTTGGCCTTAGGAGGGGCCAACTGCCCGATGCTAGACCCATCCACAACCCCAGGGTGGCATTAGCAGCTACAATCAGGTACCTGCAGCAGCTTTTTCTACATAATGCAGTTCATTATAAAACAGGGACACCTGGTGATATTTTTCTTTTACAACATTCGATATGTAGTGCAGCAGTGTTTGTTTCCGGTCTGTGGACTTGGTGTCTAAGAGCTGAAAAGAAAAGGTAGCATAGTTAGGTCCAAACAGGAAAAATAACAGGAGACTTATCCATCACGTGCTGATTTCCCACGCAAGAGTACATAAGTGAGCACAGCTCTCCAACAGGCTCACAAAGATACATCCCAGAAGAGCATTCAAGGTTCAAAGTGTCGGGCCTGGCCCAGTAGCCTAGTGACAAAAGTCCTTGCCTTGCACATACCAGGATCCCATGTGGGCACCAGTTCATGTTTCTGTGGTCCCACTTCCCATCTAGTGCTTGCAGCCTGGGAGAGCAGTCGAGGACGGCCCAAAGCTTTCGGACCCTACACCACTTGGAGAGTGAGTCAGCTGATGGAGGATTTTCCTCTCTGTCTCTCCTCCTCTCTGTGTATCTACTTTTCCAACAAAAATAAATAAATCTTACAAAAAGAGAGAGAATTGTATCTTAAAAAAAAAAAAAAGATGCAAAGTGTCCTCTGTTGAGTCCCAAAGATTCCCTGACCAGGGGATGTGTCAACTATGGGGATGAATGGAAGCCACAAGGGTTTCATCGCTCCTCATAGGAAGTCTCTGCCTCTGCTAGTCCACCTGTCCTGGTTTAAAAGCAGGAAGGTTCCAGCTGTCATGTTCTTCATAGCTAAGGGCCAGAGTGGAGGTGACAGGTGGGGCGCTCAGGTGTGTGCAGGCAGCCCTCCAGCAGGGCTGGTGTACTGCAGCTATTACTCTCAGCTCCACTTCTCATTCTGCAGCCTCAAATGTCCCACAGACAGCTGGCCTTCTGTAGACAACAGTTCTACCTCCAATGAGCTCAATCATCCACAGAGAGAAAATATTTTTTTCAATCACACTACAGTGAACATGAATAGATTTTTTTTCTCCTGTCATGCCCTAAATAATGTAGTATAGCAAACATTAACAAAGCACTGACATTATGGAAGTATTATAGGTCATCCAGGGAGCATTCAAAGAATACAGGAGGAGAGGAGGTGTTGTGTGACAGTTAGGTCAAGGCTTCGGATTGCAGCTTCCTGCTTATGCAGCTAGAAGGCAGCGGATGAGGAACCCCGGCCTCACCTTGGCTGCTACAGCCACTTGGGGAGAGAACCAGCAAATGAAACATCTTTCTGTCCTTCCCTCCCTCCTTCTCTGCCACTCCGCCTTTCAAATGAAGAAGGTGGTGCAGCCAAGAACTTGAGCCAGTGCGCACAGGCAGGCAGCACAGTGGCACGGTTTAATTTACTGAGCCACAATGCCAGCCTCATGAATGACAATCTTTAAAAAACAACACACACAAAAGAGGGGTATAGGAGGATATTTGTAGATTACACACAAATAGTACATCATTTCACAGAAGGGATCTCGGCATCTTTAGATTTCAGTCTACTCCGGGCAGGGCAGGACTGCAGCCAGTGCCCAGAAGGACGGAGAACTGTGACTGATTAGATGCTCCCATCAGATAATCATATCAACTATCTCTCCCTGCCTGAAGACTCACCCACTGCCCAACCTTCTCACATGTAAGCCACAATAAGTCACACAGAGGGATTCAGTGAGAAGTTTCTCTATCCCTATTCATATGGGTGTCTGAATGGGAGAGCATTATTTATCATGCAGTCAAAAAACATATGTGCATATGTTTTTAGAAAGTATGGAAAATGGTCCAGTGTGGTGGCATAGCAAGCTAATCCTCCCTCTGTGGTGCATACACCCCCCCACATGAAAGCCAGTTCTAGCCTAAGCTTCCAATAGCCTAGGAAAGCAGCAGAGGATGGCCCAGGTCTTTGGGACCCTGTACCATGTGGGACACCTGGCTTTCATCTTCAGATTAGCCTATTTAGGCAGAGAACCAACAGATGAAAGATGGTCTCTGTCTTTCCCTCACTTTCTCTCTATAACTCTTTGAAGCAAAAAAAAAATTAACACAAGAAATGTGAAATAAGGATAATCTTTTTTTTAAAGGAAGTCTGAAAAAAAATCACCTAATTGCCAATGACTTCTGTTGCAATTTTAACTCACTTCCATTCATTCTCTTTTTTGCTGCCCACATTACTAACCTGAAATTAAACCATCCCTGCAGTTCATACTAACTTCTTTTCTATACATGGAATCATCTATTTTTTTAAAAATAATTCTTTGTAATTATTTTTTTAAAGATTTATTTTTATTATTTTTTTCATTGGAAAGGCGGATATACAGAGAGGAGAGACAGAGAGGAAGATCTTCCGTCCGATGATTCACTCCCCAAGTGAGCGCAACGGCCGATACTATGCCGATCCAAAGCCAGGAGCCTCTTTCGGGTCTCCCACGCGGGTGCAGGGTCCCAAAGCTTTGGGCCGTCCTCGACTGCTTTCCCAGGCCACAGGCAGGGAACTGGAAGGGAAGTGGGGCCGCTGGGATAGAACCGGCACCCATATGGGATCCCGGGCGTGCAAGGCGAGGACCTTAACCACTTGCGCCACTGCGCCGGGCCCTCTTTGTAATTATTTTAATAGCTGAACAGAAGTTCACTGTATTAAGTATTCTTTTTGTGTTTTTAAATTTATTTTATTTTTATTGGAAAGTCAGATTCACAGAATGAAGGAGAGACAAAGATCTTACATCTGCTGGATCATCCCCCAGCTAGCTGCAGCAGCATAAGGCCAGGAGCCAGGAGCCTCTTTCTCCGGGTCTCCCACGTGGGTGCAGGGTCCCCAGGCTTTGGGCCATCCTCCACTGTTTTCCCAGGCCACAAAGCAGGGAACTGATTGGGAAGTGGAGCAGCCAGAACACTAACCAGTGCCCATATATGATCCCAGCTACACAAAGCAAGGACTTTTGCCACTAGGCTACCGTGCCTAGTGGGTATTAACTATTCTTAAGATCTTCTGATTGTTGCCAATTATGTACAGCTATAAATAAACCATGGTGCTCACAATTCATATTTAATTCACACACCTGAGAAATGATTCCTAGAAAGGGATAAACCACAGTTGGAAGTGCTCACAGCCAAGTGATAGACCAATCCTCTTGGACATCACTGCAGAGAATCTTCAACACATCCACCTTCCGCTTCCAAGAGCAGGCCCACCCCCACTCCCACTGTCACGTTCTACAGCTATTTGTGTTGTAACTGTCAGTCCCCACAGTTATCGGAGCCCACTCACCAAATCTAAACTCTGAAGTTTAAATCCATAAACTGCTCCTCGTTTACTGCTATTCATGTAGTTTCCAAGTGCCAAGATGATCTACAAAAGATAGAACATGAGTTCAGCAGCAAGGCCCAGGCAAGCAGCAGACACGCGAGCTGCTCACACATAAATACCAACAACCAGGCCCAAGCACATAATGGGCATGTGGGCTGTTCACACACATGTACCAGTGTTCTAGGTCCAGGCCTAGGCCCAGGCATACAGTGGACATGCGGGCTGGTTACACATATGCACCAGTGGCTCAGGTCCAGGCACACAGTGGACATGCATGCTGCTCACACACATACTCAAGCAGAACTCCACTTGCCTCCAGAATCTTCTTGAGTTTCTGAGATGATTTGATAGACACCGACGCTGCTATGACTGCATGCAGTTGCTGGAGCCCAGTGAAAAGAAGAAAGAGGGGAGAAAAACAGACATTAAATATAGGAAACTGACTGCAGACTGCGGATTAACACGGCAGAAAACAGGCCCGAGTTTAGACCTCTGTTTCTCCTCAGCCTGACAAGTGTGGTCATCTTGCCGGGTCTCCAGCAACCATTTGGTGATGAGTAAACTTGGCAATAACAAGTAACACAGCAACTTGCTTATCGTAACAGCTGCAACCAATCTACAAGGGCGGGGAGGCGGCAGCCTCTTTCCCCAGAACTTACTCCCCTCCCAGCTATCTCTGTTCAAGAAGGAGTAACAAACAAACAAGGAAGCAAAGAGCTCTAACGCTCCCTGTAGTCTTTAATATATGTTTAGAACAGATGTGATCCCATCATCAGCAACTAACCGAAGTTAACTTTGAAAATAGGGAAAGAACCAAGGTTTGTGATACCCCTAACTGTCCACCAGACTAACACAAGCAAGCCTGTTACTCTACATGACCGCAGTCTACTACAGCAAAAATATATCCAAGGGAAGAAAACTGCGGTGAACTGTGATGTTTCCCATGGAAGCCCACCCAAAAATCCTTATTTCTACAAAGAATCATTTACAGAAAGGAAGACATTTTCAGTCTTATCCTCAACCCTCTCAAGGGCTGGGATTTTCCAGGAGGGGGACAAACTTGTGAAGGTGGGTTTCCTTGTCCTCTGGGATCAAATGCCCTTGGAAATCCAGAGGAATCTGCAGACACAGAAAACAGCATTCTCTTGGGAGAAGAATAAGATGGAATATGGTGACACACTATTTTAAAATGTACTTCATAGAATCCAATGTAAAACTCAGGGCTAGAATAAAGAATACAATCCAGAAAAATTTGGGAAGGAGTCTGCAAAGCCTGCAATACTTACTGCAATTCTGGGAGATAATTAAAAAAAAAAATTCTCCATCTTTCTGGACTCCTCTCCTACTAGAAATGGTCCACTTACAGGTGTCAGCATTTGGATGCTCTCAGCGAAGTTCCCAATAAAGGCCATGATGGTCATCTTCTGCATGAGCCTCTCAATTTTACTGAATTGCATCATGAACCGGTCTTCATCTGACAAGTTCTCTAAGGGCTTCCGTTCCCGCTCGTAGAGCCGCAGCACTTTCACCTCGTTCTCAGTCGGCAAGAACCTCATTAAACATTCTACAAAGTCTACAGGCAACGTCTTCAAGTCAAATCTGAAGGCACATGTGCACAGATTGGTGTTAGAGAGGAAACCTTTTTTTTTAAAAAAAAGATTTATCTTTTTATTATTATTATTGGAAAGGGAGAGAGATACAGAAAGATCTTCTGTCTGCAAGTTCACTCCCCAAATGGTTGCAACAGCCAAAGCTAAGCAGATCCGAAGCCAGGAGTTTCTTCTGGGTCTCCCACATGGGTGCAGGGTCCCAAGATTTTGGCCATCTGTTTCCCCAGGTCACAAGCAGGGAGCTGGATAGGAAGTGGAACAGCTAAGACATAAACCAGGGGCCATATAGGATCCCAGGGCATGTAAGGTGAGGATTGAGTCACTACACTATTGTTCTGGGCCCAGAGGGAAAACCTTCAACACCCCTCTATACCCTCTCTGTCTGGTCCCACTCATCACTGCCCAGCTGACAACTCTAAGCTCCTGCAGCCGAACAATGGAGGCCCAGTCTTGGAGCTGGTTCCTGACGGTTCATTGGATACCTTTCCTGGTCTTTCCCTAAAACCTGGGCATTACTACAGCTTTCGGCCTCGGTTTTAGGCCCCTAGCACAGCTCCAAGCCTTTAGCAATTAACAGTAAATGACTACTGAAAAAGGATAAATGAAGGCTGAAATACACTGGTTCCAGGACTCAGTTTTTAGGCATTGGAAGACACTGCTTATTAGGAACATTAGTACTGCACACAGAAACACAGAGTACCCAGTGAACCCTTATAAAATATTTCAATTATGCTAACAGTCTGCAGTAAAATTTTTTTTTGAAGCAAAACACTCAAGAGAGGCTGGCACAATAGCTCAACAAGCTAATTCTCTACTTGCAGTGCTGGCATCTCATAAAGGTGCCAGTTCATATCCTGGCTGTTCCACTTCCCGCCCAGCTCCTTGCTTGTGGCTTGGAGAAGCAGTGGAGGATGTCCAAAACCTTGAGATCCTGCACCAGTGTAGGAGACCCACAAAGATGCTCCTGGCTTCAGATCAGCTTGGCTCCAGGCATTTGTGGAGTGAACCAGCAGGTGGAAGCTTTTTTTTCTTTGTCTTTCCTTTTTTCTGTAAAGCTGCCTTTCCAATGAAAGTAAATAAATCTTTAAAACAAACAAACAAAAAAACACACAACTGTCTATACTGCATGGATGGCTTACCCAAGTACATAAGTTCCTTGAAGAAATATCAGGTTTTTGTAGAAATGTGCTCAGTATGAAGAGATGAAGTATTTGCTACAACCTTTATTTCTATCTAATTTAAGGGTGACCTCTGTTCAACAAGTAACAGAATTACACTTAATAATCATGATTAATATTAAGTTCAGGAACTAGACCATGTATGGGGGTTCAACATTAGAGATCACAACAGACTGTAGGAGGCACTACAGACTATTAGATTTTGACTCTGGTTGAAGACACACAATTGGAACAAATCATCTGTCAGGGCCAACCACTCCAGGAATCTGATCAAAATTCGTAAGATATTAATTTACGAAGAGTTAGTGCTAAAAACATTCAATAACATCCCTACCACATTTGAAAGTTACTATGACCACAAGAATAGTAGAAAGATTGTCCCAACAGAAAAGTAAATAAAATCAAAGCCTTCAAGAGTTTAAAATGAACTTTGTTTAAAATATCCTGGCACTATGGAGAGCAAGAGAATTCATTTCCATTGCTATGAATTAAGACACGCATCTGTATTGTATTTACATCTGGCACTGAACTGCATCATTCTTCAAATGCCACAAAATTTGTGTTCAATAAACATGGATAAAATCCAGATACTCTAGAGGAAACTGACATTTTTCTCCCTTTTCTTAACATCTGCAATACTCTGCTCCATTTTCCTTTCATGTAAGCGTTGCTGTGGGCCTGCACAAGAGAGCAGACCAAGATAACAAATGATGTCACAATCCAGATGTTATTTCTTTGGAATAATCAATTAGGCATTCGAATAGAGCCATCCCTGGGGACATTCCAGTACACCTCGTTGGGGCCAGCTTCTTCCTCACCTTAGGTGCTATGGAGCCTGTATGCAGTAGTGGCACTCTGTTGAATGTGGAGACCACAAGTGGCTCCATATTTTTTTTTCTTTTTTAAATCTCAGATCTTGCCCATTAAAGTATTTGCCACTAATTCATAATTTTGTCATTTTCATTTTTATCCCAACCACACCAGGGCATAATTTCACAGAAATTCCTGAACTTACACATGAATAGCTTTACAGATCTCATCAGCAGTCTTTCCTGCTTTCCTTAAAGTTATTGCAAGATTTTTGGCCCTATTTGCTTCTAGCAATGTCACTTTGTTTGATCCCTTCTGTGGTATCTTCTGTTTGCTTGAAGACAAATCGATGGCAGGACCTTGAGCTTTTGTCTTGAATATTTCCTCAAATTCATCCACATTTAAATCCTGGGGAGGAGACAGAGGATTTTGGCCAAATTCTACTTAAAAAGTAAATCAGAAAGCTACCATGAACGGCTTCATAAGTAATACCCTTAATTGTTCTATCCAATTTATGTGTTTGGTCATGACTTGTCTGTTTTTGCTTGAGTGCAACTTCTTACACATAAACAGAAGTGAACACCTCAAGTGCACTGACTCCAACAGCCTATTCCAGTGCCTTTTAATAACTAACTTGTATGGGCAGCTGCCACAGACTAAAACTTTCCACCAAACAAGACTGAGTGTAATCATCAGGCATTTATTCACTTATAGTTCAATTAAAGGACATTATAAATGAAGAGATTTTGTCAGACATAAATGAGGATACTTTGGCAGATTTGGGGGATAAAATGGAACTAACAGCTAAGTTTATTTTGGTCAAAAAAATAGTGAAATCACATGCAAGTTTTTTGCATACTAATTATTTTTGCCCATCTGTCACATTTATTGTTTCAAGGTCACCTAGGTCAAGTCACAAAAATATGGAACGCTTCACAAATCTGCATGTCATCCATGCGCAGGGGCCATGCTAATCTTCTCTGTACCATTCCAATTTTAGTGTATGTGCTGCCGAAGCAAGCACTGCATACTAATTTTCAATGAACTTTGAAGACTCCTTGCATTTTGTAGTATACACTGAAGAGGCTCAAAACTATTTACTCTAGTTTGAAAGACAATTCAGAATCACCTTCCACAACAGTGTCCTATTTTATTCTTCACTATAATTCATCACTTTTTTTCCTTTCTATGCAGCCCGTTTAGTATTTTATCACACGAAACCTGCAGGTTTTCAGAGCCTCCACCATGGCTTTGCTGCACAGACAGGGTCCTTAGTTTCTAACCAAGGAGAAAGATACCTCCAGAATTCGCTCATCATCAATTTCATTGAAGACGGTGCCATTGATCTGATTGGGCTTCAGGGCAACCCAGTTAAACACCGGCATTCTGAACTTCGTCTTGATTGGCTTCTTAATTTTCACAGCTAAGAATATCAGAGAATGAAATTATAATCCCATCAAGACCCTGCAACCCTCAGGAACAATCAGACCACAGTCCTTGCAGATGACACTTCAACACTGGAGGAAGACTGGCAAGGGGCACCCTCATGTTTACAAAGACTGAAAAATGCACATGGTCTTAGCCTGAGCCATCAGAAGCTATCATTAACAAAATGTTAAAAACTTCCTAAGAGACAGGGGCTATTTTTTTTTTAATTCAAGTAATTGGACTGTTACCTTCCAGTTAACAAAATACTAAGACAATATTAAAGCATTGCTGGGGAGTAACAATCATTATGAATATATTGGAAGACCAGAAATGGCAGATGTCAAATTTTGACATGCCAAGCTCTTGCTTGTGCAACACAAGTCTTTAAAATGATTAGAGCCTGAAGACAGGGGCCGCCTAAAACCATGAGGAATGTGACGTCAAGAGCACTGAGTTTCAGCCAGGGAAATACATTCCTGTGCATGATTTTGACAACGGAGATTACACTGGCTGCTGAGTTTTTTCAAACAGACTAAATTAGAAAAATGTTTGCGTTGACAGAGGGGCACTTGGAAGATCTGGAAATGATTTGGCTTTGTAGGAAGGGCCACAGTTGCTGGCCCTTCTTCCAGCTGGATCTGAGTAGGAGGAATCAGCGAATCCAGTAAAAGCATAACAAACCTCTCCACAGAGAGCATGGGGTCTACTGGGGAGTGCCAACTCCTTCAACAGGCAACTCAGTGAAAATTCTGCTTAGGAATCAATTACAACAAAGTCTTTGTCTTCTCAAGCCACTGAGATTAAAGCATCATCCATCCCTGCCTGTCCACCACCTTATTTGGGAGCTTCCCTATGAGGCCGGCCTTCTGGCCAAGTAGGCTAAACTTCTGTGCTATTAACCGCTGATAGCAAGAGAGGGAGCACCTGAGTGCTTCTATGTAAAAGACTAAGCAACTCTCATGGCTGAATTCTTATCTGCCTGCCTGTCTTCCCGCCTCAGTGGGTGGGAACTGAGAAAGGGAGACGAACAGTGCCTCTCATTCCTCCAGAGTTACCAAGGTCAAAGGGACAGGTGACATCATCTGAAGAATTCACACAGAAGCATGCAGGAACACAAAGACACAGCTTTTGCCAAACCAGCCACTTCTAGCACCCAAGGGAACCACTGCTTCCTCACTTCCCAAGAGGATGGCTTTCTGGCCACACTGCATTCTTGTCTGTGCTATCCAGGAAAGCCAAGGTGCTGCTCTGTATGGGATGAAAGGACAGATCTTCCTTGTGAATGAAACTTGCAGCAGTGCTGGGGATATGGGGGAGCAGGGGACGGGCTATGGAGGAGCTTTGCATCCTGTGTGAAGTGTGGCAGGGGAGGCCTTTTGTTTGTGAACTTCCCTGCACAGATACTACAGGCCCAATGCTCACCAACAGTCACTCCCTTACAGTCACCCTTCAGATTTGGAAGGCCTGCGGGCCGAGCACAGGTACTGACATTCTGCTTGGAACAGTTCCCCTGACTCTGACTGGGGCATGGAGGGCAGTGAAGACCACAGAAACAGGTATCTGCTCCACACTGCCTCCTCAGGGCTCAGGTATAACCAAGTGGACACTGCACAGTGCTAGCCAGACACCAGCAGGCAAGGACTGGAAATGGGACAGCCAGAGTTCTGCCTTGTTCTGTGCCCCTAGAATCAGTCTAAAATTTTAGATGGAAGCCTCTTGGTTTCAATTGTGAGATTTTAAACCAAAAGGAGAGAAAAATAAGAACCCCACCCCCAACCATAATCGGTTCTTTCCTCAGAGGGCAAGGACTGTGGCACAGGAATCCAGGCCATCTGCTCCAAGGACAAGCATCCCTTCTCCAGGTACAGCTATAATGTGGGGACACACCTGGAGGAAAAGTCAGCCCACACCCAGACTCCCCGCAGACACAAAGTCCAAATGCAATGGATCGAAGGCAGATGGGGTGAAAAGATGTCAAGGCATGGTGTGACCAACACAAGGCAAATACCCGACACACTCAGTGAGGAGCAACCTACAGAAAAGCTTGATGGGCCCATCTTTTTGTGGAAGCAGAAAGAATAGAGAAAATAAAAAAAAATTAGATATGGTTAGAGTCAAGTGACCCAGCAGTTCACGCAGTGGCAGCACAGAATCTCATGCTTCTTTGACATGTTTCACAAAGCAGCACAGAGACAAAAACTCATTCCCATTCAGGACTGCCTTGAAGACTCACTTTTATTGAGTTTTTAGAAAAATCTTTTTTTTTTTTTTTTACAAGAAAGGAAGAAAAGCTTTTCTAAGAGTGGTCCCAAGGAGCCACACTGAACTGTGCGCTAGCAATACAACCATTTTATAAATAAATTCACTAAGGTCCACATTCTCATTGTAAAGAAGCAAGCCATCCTCCTAATAAGGACAGCAGAGCGTCCAGACTGTCTGGCAGATTGGCACAGGTGTCTGATGCCAGGAAAGAGAGCCAGGCTGTTCTATGCAGATCTGAGGATGGAAGTATTCTACTTCACATATAGCTAAGTTCACACTACCGGTCTTTCTAAAACACAAGCTTTCCACCAGGTAGTTACAGGGACCATTATGTGGTTCCCTGCCTGGGCCACCATTAACACATTTGCTCATTGCCTACTCAAGAGATGGGACATCCTGTTGTCTGCAAATCCCACAGTGTAGAGATGTGACAAGTTTCTGGCTTCCCAGGAGCCCTAAGGCCAACTCACAGATCTTAGTTTCTTGGTTCTGCTGGAACATCCTGACTATGTCTAGCCTCTTAGTTCCAAAGAGAGAGAAACAACACACTGGCAAAACATTCCACAAAATGGGCTTCCTTCACAAGCACTCACTGCCAAAACGATGGTGAGCAGTGAAGACAGATGAAAACTTTGGTGGGAGCCACCAGATCTCAACTTGTTAAAGGCTTATAGCATCTTGTAATTCTTACATAAACATACTTCAAGAAGTTTGTGGAAAATTAAATTGGATGATAAGCTTAACTGGGTGACAAAAGTTTTGAAAGGAATGTAGATTTTTTTAAAAAGAGACATTTTATGTGAACTTTCTGAAGTCCTCCTGAGTTTAGTAAAAGATGTTATTTCTTGGGGCTGGCACTGTGGCGTAACAGCTCATCATCCACCTGCAGTGCCAGCATTCCACATGGGTACTGGTTCTATTCCTGGTTGTTCCACTTTCAATATAACTCCCTGATTATGGCCTGGGAAGGCAGTAAAGGAGAGCCCAAGTCTTTGACCCCTTGCATTCATGAGGGAGACTTGGAAAAGCTCCTATTTCCTAGCTTTGGACCATCCCAGCTCTGGCCAATGTAGCAATTTGGGGAGTTAACCAGTGGATGGAAGATTGATTTCCCTGTCTTTCCTTCTCTGTAACTCTGCCTTTCAAACAAAGATAAATTTGTTTTTAAGGGATTTCTTGTACTCATTTGCTGCACATTCCTGGAATTAAAGAGAAGTCTCTTGCATGCTATCTGTATATGATCTCTAACCGGAGGAAGACTCAGCTTGCAACAGCAGCAGCCATGAAGGCAGCTGTCAGCTACCAGCTGAGCATCCAGCTCCATATCCTCATGCTGGGTGAAGGCAAGTGACCAGTAATTAAAATGCAGTTAGGATCCCCTCATCCTATGTCAGAATGCCTGGGTTGAATACCTGATTAAGGCTCCTGATTCCAGCTTCCTGCTAATGTGGACTCTGCCTCCCAGGCTTCAGCAGCTGGGTTCCTGCCACCCACGTGCAAGACCTGGATTGAGTTCCTGGCTCCTAGCTTTGGTCCCCTGGCCTCTCTAGGCAATTTAGGGAGTAAACCACTAGATGGGAGATCTCTTGCAAGCTTGTTGCTCTCCATCTTTCAAATAAAAGCATTTAAAAAATATATGCAACTTTATGTAACTACACATATATACTATATATAACTTAAAAATTAGACATGATGGGCCCCTGTGTATGACAACCTCTTGACCCTTTGGTCTGCCAAGGCAGCTCCGAGTTTCACGTTAGCGCTCAGGTGAGTGGAAGCAGGTGCTGAATCACACATCAGCTCTTGCCAGACAGGAAGAAAGCAGTACCCAGGGAGGCATCACAGCAGTCACATGTCACAGCCCAACCAGGGCTACACGGGAAGCCTGAGCAGGTAGGCCAGGTGTGCAGGACAACCGGGGCCCTCCACGCTCAGCCACCAAGAGCAGCCGGGTGAGGGATGGGCTCCCCAGGCCCGCTGTGACATGGTTTCTTTACATTCCACCATCCAACAGTTTCACCAGAGTTCTCCAACTTTTCTCCTTCAGAAGCAATAAAAGTTCCAGAAGAAAGTGGTTGAGAGGGAGGACCTTGAAGGGTATAAATAAGCCATTGATTTACTGTGAACATTATGTTGAATAGACACCTTATTCGTTCCCCTGACAGCTTTGTAGAAATGGGAGTGAGGCACCATCAGGGATTTGATATGGAATAAGTGTGTTAATGGCCCCAAGGTCTCAAATCACCAGGAGGAATCAGCTCTAATTCCTGATAAGACCCTTGAAGGGATGAAAATTATGAAATCTTTCTGAGCTAACACTGTGTCTAGAACTTTAAGCAAAAGCCTCCAACAACCACTGTAGCCTAGCAAATGGTGGCACTCAGGGAGATTCTTCATGGGAAATGAGAGTTATATATTTCAACTACAGTCATCAAAGAAACAGATTTACTTATGTAACTTGGATAGCCAAGCTCGTAGCAATTGCAAATGGCAAAGGAATTATCTCTGACTGGGCCACGGCTTGTCATATCGTAGAAAGGGCCAACATTCTCTTCCCTGAGCCCAAAGGGAACACTTGAATTTCAAGGCATTACAGCAACTCTCTTAACCTCCCTGGATGCCCCACGCACCCTACCCTGAGCTGAGGATGTTGCTCCTGGTTTAACAGGAGACTGTGAATTTGAGAGGATTTCAAGGTCAAGGGGAGAATACTGTTGGCAGCACTTCCTTGTGAAGCTTAAGTTTACCCTAGCAAAGTCAGATGTTGTCAGATGCTCAGAAGACATGCTTGGAAGCCTACATTGGACAATTTCCCAGAAAGATACTGTCCCCTTAAAATTTCTACCCAAACAACCTCTAATGAAAGAGAAAGAGAGCCAGAAGCACTCAGTATCTGTGCCTATTCAGAAGACTACAATAGGTGTCAATGAGGCATTTGCTGGAGCCACCCATCCACACTGATTCTGAAGGAAGTCCCAGGTCAGATTAGGCAGGAGAGATCAGAACTTTCCCCTGGGAGGCTGCAACAAAAGTTTCCCCGGCCAACATCCCCTTCCCTGGCTATACTGACCTGAGTGTTCCTACACCTAGAGGAGGTTCATGTCCTTGCAAGATATTGGGACTTCAGAGATCTGCTTTAACTCTCCAGGGCCTGGACAAATGAAGATTTCTTACCCGAGAACCTGGGTATTAGTTCTGTGCTCTTACCTGCTAATCCTGAGTTGAAAACCACTGTAGGTGAAGATGTTCCTGGAAGCGGGGGTGCAGAGGGAGGAGGGGGTGGCGGCAAAGGTGGACCTGGCACAGTCTCAGCTGCAGGACCCGGGAGAGGAGGGGGTGGAGGAGGAGGGGGAGGAGGTGGGGGAGGGGGAGGTGGTGGCATTGGTGGCGTGACAGGACCATTTTGCACTAGCAAGGAGAGAAGAAACAAATTGAGAATACAGGAATAGTTTTCTGGCAATATGTCATGTGCTTATAAAGTATCCAAAGACAAAACACCTACAAGGATAACGAGTTGCTTTCAAAAACATATACAATTTCCTATAGGCTATTGGGAAAAAGACTGCAACATTTGCAAACTGAAGACTGATGACTTTGATCTCAAAATATAAATAGTTCTTAAAATCAGAAAGCAAAGAACAGTCAAAACCACACGAGGTCAACAGAGAGAGACAACGTCCCAAATACTGCCCAGGTGTCCTAAGGCAAGTTTCCTCACCTGCTTCAGGTGTGTCTGACGATGGAGGTAGTGGTGGAGGAGGAGGTGGCAAGGGTCCAGAGGAAGTGGCCCCCATAACTGGGCCTACAAAACTACCCACTCCTGCTTCGGACCCTGCAGACAATGTGCCAGAAGCCACAACTGGCAGAATGGCGATGTCTCCATCCCCTTTCTTCTGAATTTTAATGGTCCCTTGTTTTTCCAGTTCATGGATCTTTTTTTCCAGGGTAGACTGTCTCTGAATGGCTTCTTCTTTTTCTTTGACCATTTTTCTTAATGTGTGAACTTGGGTATTTGCATCTTTGTAGATTTCCTGTAAAAGAGTCTATGGTCAAGGGTTCATCTTCACAGGGCATTCAAATTCATTATCATCAGACTGGCCTATTGAGGATAAAGAAATAACACTAGAAAATAGAGAAGGAACACACACATGAACAGGAATTCTATGGAACTCAGCTAGAATGGGTAAGATCCCATTAAATAACACTAATTATGCCAATAATGCATGCAATAAATTCCAGTAATTTTACTGTTAAAGAAATCCTTTCTATTTCATAACTGCAGCTAACTTAACTCTGCCTGCAGGCAGAAGCAAACGAGGCAGAGAGCTCCAAAAGCCAGCTTGGGACTATGTGGGGCACACTTTGGTGGTGCAGAATGTCTTGGTTTAAAATCCATTTTGTGACTCCTACATCTGTGCATCAGCTAACAGCAGACAGGAGGTCGCTTGGTCAGACTTGGACAGAAGTCAGAGCAGGATTACAAATCTGCAAGCCCCAGGACATCACATTCATCAGTCACCGGGGCTGGCTGACCTTGAATGGTCGGCTCTGGCCTGTTCATAAAGCCTCTCTAACTGCGTTCAGGGTAGAGATCATGACATTGTCCCTCTGGTAATGCCATCAACAAAACAGGCCAAAGCTTCCCTCCACGAACGATTTAGTTCTGCCTAGGTTTTTGGCAGAAAACAAAGAAGCCACCATTTCCAATTCAAAGGCTGTCCTGGTTCCTTTTACAGGGGACGCATCGAGGTTCCAGGAAAGGGATTTACGGAACTGAACATACTTGCTGTGCCTTCTATACAGATCTCTTCCCACAGCCTGCAGCAGGCAGAGCAACATTCTTCACACCCTGTCTACTATTAATAAACTCAGAGTCTGAACCTGAATTGAGTCCATATGCTACAACTTGGTCTCAATAAGTGTGCCAGAAAATAAATTTCCTCAAGTTAACGGCAGGACATATCAGAGGATCAAGCAACACACACACTCATGACAAGCCTCACATAAAATGTGTCATTTCGTTCACAGTGGTGCAAGGGTCAGCCATTTGCCTGTAAGCCCTCCTGGCAGGCATTTTGGTGTTTTATGTTCTGGACAATTCCAACCACATGGACGGCACTCCATAAATACCTGACATGTAAGGGAAAATACCACCAAGGCCAAATAAAACAGCTGGAATTATCTGATAATAAAACGGATTGGTTTTGCTTTGCCTTCCCCCAACAACTGCCTACTTTTTTTGGTGAATGCCATTAGGTACATCCAGTGTTGTGATTTCCCTGTTTCCACAGCAACCACCAAATCTGGATGTAAAAAGAAGCAAGGCAAAGGAATACAACAAAGCCCAAATCCCAACATAAATGAGTGGTGTGAATTAAACCTTGCTGTGTTTTCATTTCCAACCGAATGTGCAATCCACAGAAGCAGCCCAGCCTCCTCTAGAGGGGAAACCACTGTGCACCCAAAAATCAGTGATAAGGAAATACTGAACCTCTCAGCACTCAGGACTCAAATGCACACATGTGTGCACAAATGCCCTGACTGCGCGGGCCTTTTACCCAGGAATCACCACTGCAATTCTTCCACACACACACACACTGCATCAGTACACTCCTCTGAAATGAATATGCGCCACATCAACGCAGCCTGAGGCAGAGCACAGTCCCTGTAGTGCCAGTCTGGTGACAGTTGTCCTCATCACTTACTCGGACAACATCCAGCTCCTTGTTCCTCTGCATGAGCTGCTTTTCCAGTTCCACAATCTTGGACATGGCTTCATTCTCTGTGTCTTGCAACTTCTCAGATAGCTGTAAAATGGTTACAAGGGAGCCGTGTCACCAACAAGGACATTCTGATCAGGCCCTCAGTACTCAGCAAGTACAGCTCTAGGACTGTCAGGACCCATCCAAGTCCTGCATGAGCCCTGCAACCTGTTTACTGGAATGACAGTATTTATAAATATGGTTCTGAGTATATATTCAATATTAGCAGGGATCAATAATTTATAAGGCTACATTCGAACATTTCCTTAATGAAACCCACAAGTCAGCTCCTCAGTGTTTCAGCATACATATCATCTCCGTCCATTTCTTCAGGGACTAGTCAAGGTAGCAGGAGTGTGTGTTGGGAAAGGAAGTGTGTTTCCACAGCTGTCCAAGAAAGGGCTTTGAAAGTATTGACCGGGGAGTCACGTTGTGGCATAGTAGTTAAGCCTCCATCTGTAATGCCAACATCTCATATACCTGCTCTTTCATGTCCTGACTGCTCCACTTTCAATCCAGCTCCCTGTCAATGGTCTGGGAATTCACCTGAAGATGGTCCAAGTGCTACCACCCATGTGGGAGACTGGATGAAGCTCCTGGCTCTTGGTCCAGTGGTGGCCATTGCAGCCATCTGAGGAGTGAGTCTGTCTGTCTCTATGTGACTCTAGGCAGTTGGAAAAAAAATACACGACTGCTTGTTTCAAATCAAACTGATGAAATAATAAGTGCTATTTAGAGAGGCAGTTTAAATTAACAGATGGTCTGCTACAAAAGTAGATACAGAAATACAATCTTTCAGCAGCGGATGTCCTACACAGCTGTTAAACTTGGGACACCTGCATTCCTGATCCCAGTCTGCTTGGAGTCCTAGTTAATTTCTGGTTCCAGTTGCCTGCTGATTTACATCTTGAGAGATAACAGCTGATGACTCCAGTATCCTTGTCCGTGTTACTGATGTGGGAGATCCAGAATGAGTTCTAGGCTCCTGGACTGAGGCTGATTTAGCACCTGCTGTCACAGGCATCTGTGGAATGAACCAGCAGATGGAATATCCTGCCTTCTAGCCTCAAACTATTCAAAGTATTTTTAAAAAATAAAATTAGATATGTATGTTTTTAAAGTATGACCATGTAATATTGGCTGTGGCTTCAAAAGAGACACAGAATGGGTCAGGTTACATAACTGCTTTATGCCAAATGCTCTACAAATTGACAATTTGTGATTTTTACACCTCAATGAAAATAAGCGTAAGTAAAGGCAAGGTAAGGAGGACTTATGGCAATGTCTACTGACGAAGTTCAGAGTGCAACACTCCGAAAAGTTCTGAGCCCTAAGTTCTCCTGTGAAGTGGAAGCTGACTGGCTAACTGCAGCTTTTACAGAAGGTTCTTGGCTCACTCACTTGGTTAAACCACAAACCATGAATATGCCCACTTTCAGAGTGACAGGAAAAGGTGGAGGGCATTAAACACATGCAAGACTCTGGAGAAAGGAGGAGGAAAATATATGGACTGCTTCAAGGCAAAAATAACAAAAAAGGGACAGCTCAGTATACAATCAAGCAAAGTGTACATTCTATCTTATCCAAACAATTTGGTCTTGTTAATACTGGAATCTCTGAGAAACACCATTTTCCTGTTCCTTCTTGCAATACTGAACTCCCTGTTCAATGAATGCATGAGTGGACAATCTTTGAAGGGATGCAGATTAATACTCAACTTGGTCTGTAATAAGAAAAGTCCTTCAAAGGAACCTGAGCCCCTGTTGGTACAGAGTTGACATTGTACTGGGAGGACACTCTTCCTCCACAAAGAATACAGATATACTGGGGCCGGGGCTCAGGCATACAGAACTGCATTTAGGCTGATGCTTGGGATCCCATGTCCCTTACGAGAATGCCTGGTGTAGGACTCAGTTATGCCGCTTCTAACTCAACTTTCTGCTAACGTACACCCTAACAGACAGCAGATTATCACTCCACACTGGGGTTCCTGTCCTCTGATATGGAAGATCTGCGCTGAGCTTAGTGTTCCTAACTATTCTGGGTGTTTGGGGAGTGAACCAGTAGAAGCCAGCAGCTGGGGCTAAGCACTGAAATCAGGATCTGCAATGTGGAATTCAGGAATCTTAATTGGTGTCTTAAACAGCAGACCAAACACCTGCCCCTACTCAGAATTTGAATAGCCATCAGACAGGAATGTTTAGACTCACATCACAGAGTATCAGCTGATTCTGTCCATAGCCCTGTGTGAGCATTTTTTAAAAAGTGGCTCATATTCAGGAGACACTTCTTGGTCCCAAATCAAATTCCTGTATTATTTCCTCCACTCTGTTAGGTGATGCCAATCATCTAATCACGAGTCAGAACTGAGCAGGCAAGGCGCTGGACTTGGCTTTGTTTTACAGAACGTATTTGGTTTCTTTGAAAGAACCCAGAATGGCTTATGACAGCCCTTGCTCCCGGGGTACAGTTCATTCTGTACACTCCAACTCCTTTAACTTACTACCATAGATGCTTATCCCTAACTGCTTGTTCCTAGTGAAACATCAGCAGTCACTCCCCTTACATGAGAGATGTTCTCTTCAAGTTCTTCCACCCTCTCCAACGCTGCATTCTTGGTTTCAGCATCTTCCAGCAGAGCTCCTACATCAAACACATTGTCCAGGTAAGCCTGAATCTGCACCTGCAGCTTGTCACTCTCTGTATGTTTCAGCTTCTGCAAACCAGAACACAAAAGGAGACCGTGTTAGCTTTTCTGAGAACAGACCAAGAATCAACGTGCTCTGTTGGCCCCAAAAACTCAGCCTTTCCATGAGAAGGCTGAAGGATCACCTACCTTCAGAGCACTATGAAGTACCTGATTGAGGGAGTACCATCAGATTACTTTCTGGTGACTACCCCGCCCCCCCACTCATCTTCCTCCAAGCCCTTCCTGCTCCACAGAATTAGATCCTAACACAGAATATCTGGGTATAGGTGACATCAGAACAGAAAAACCTAAAAGTAGCTCCTGAAGGGAACAATGACAAGTAACATAAAATGTGGTGGTGGTGGTGGTATGTGTAATGGCAGACACTGCAGGGGGTTGTATCTTGCCTGGAGAGTGACAAGGCTTCCAGTGGGGCTCAAGGGTTAGGGGAAAGGTGGGGCAGACACAAGTTGAGTTTGTACTTTGCCTTGGGGCTTATTTTAGCAAACATTTAAACAGTGCCCATATTCCATGCTTTCTCTGCCAAGTTAGTATGATCAATGTGAACAGCTCAGGACTCCCATAGCACAGGTCAGAAAACTTTCCCAAAGTTACTACATCTAAGGTCAAGCATGAAGACAACACTCAGCTACTTTTAAGGTAATATTAGAGGTCTTATCAACCAGTGAATCTCCCCTATGTATTACACAGGTTATGGCTTTCCCTGGGAAACAGATGAACGGGGAGAACAGATTCTAGCACATGGGTGAGTCAATAAACAGTTATTGAACAAATCGATGATAACCTAAAAGGAAGTACTTAGATCATTACATATGTATTAAGACAGCTATTCCAACCGTGTTAGTCTTTCAGGAGTCAGAGTTAACACAACACAAAGCTAAGCAAACGCTAAGTTTTAGAAAACAAAAACAAACTTTAAATTTTGAAAACAAATGCCACACTATACAAATTCTCAGGAAAAATATATTTTATGTCTAACCCGAAATTCTAAAATTTAGCCTTTTTTTAAGAGTAGGTTTTATCTTAGTTTGAAAGTTAGAACCAAAATATTTTCCAGTCAAGGGCAGCATCTAAGAAAGATAATGGAATTTTATACAAAAGCTCAATGGAATTTTATACAAAACTCTTAATGACCCACAAGGGCTAAGGAGCCTAAAGCAATGTCTACTCAGACATCACAAAGCTGAACTCAGAACACCACTAGAAATCTATATTCCCAATGTTTGTTCAGATACTGCTACTCTCAGAGCATCAGGAAAGAGAATAACAAACTTTGATCTAAAAGCAAAAAAGAAAAAAATCAATCTAATATTCTCCCAATAACTTTAGTGAGTCTTTAAATTAACAAACTGCTCACACAGCTCTTAAGTGGAGGCCTATTCTGCTTGACCAACAGTTGAATCTTTATGCCACATTAGGCCTATCTACACAAAACGTAGCTCAGCTGGCCTGGTAAGCAAGAGTGTCAGGTAAGAATCATCAACTCTGCCATTCTGCTTCCCAAAAAACTCAGACTGAAATGCCCTGGCTTTCCCCTAATGATGACCAGCAGTGGAACTCTGGAGACACCAAGGTGAAGTATATCTATCAGTTTCTTTTTTTTTTTTTTTTTTTAAAGATTTATTTTTATTATTTTTTCATTGGAAAGGCGGATATACAGAGAGGAGAGACAGAGAGGAAGATCTTCCGTCCGATGATTCACTCCCCAAGTGAGCGCAACGGGCCGATACTATGCCGATCCAAAGCCAGGAGCCTCTTCCGGGTCTCCCACGCGGGTGCAGGTTCCCAAAGCTTTGGGCCGTCCTCGACTGCTTTCCCAGGCCACAGGCAGGGAGCTGGAAGGGAAGCGGGGCTGCCAGGACTAGAACCGGCACCCATATGGGATCCCGGGCGTGCAAGGCGAGGACCTTTAACCACTTGCGCCACCGCGCCGGGCCCTATCTATCAGTTTCATAGCTGGGAGCATGAAATGCTTAAAATGCAGACCTACAATTCTAGCCCTATTACTAGTAGTCTCTCAAATTCAACCAGAACACTCCTATCTCACAGGGAAAACAAAAATCTGCCTAGGAGTCAAGGGACAAATACATGGCCTGTGCACACACAGCTGCTCAAACTCATTTCTGACATTCATATCAACTTCCTGTTGGTTAACCTGAGAACTCCAGGGAACTGGCAGAGTAGTTCTACCAGGTAGCAAGAGAAAGACCAAATTTAAACCCCCTTCTCCCAGGAACCAAAGTGGAACTTCTGAAGCCACAAGCACTTTAAGGGGAATTTAACAGCTTCACGAGGAAGTCTCCAGTGCCCATTCCTCATTATTTTTTTATGTTCTAAGCATTTACTCATCATTCTGAAGCAGTTTGGGCTTGACCTTTCTTTGCCTATATGGGGTCCCCAGAGAAGCCAAGAATGCAAATTGCCCAACTGCCCTGATGAAGGATGCAATGAAACTTGCCCCAAACAGAGCTTAAACACAGAGGAAAGCCGCAGAAGGGCTGCAGGTGATCTGCCTCCTGTTCTCAAAGGCTGCAGACAAACGCTGGAGTGAGGTCCCAAGAGATTTGAAGGCATCTGGCTTCCCTGGCAGATCACATCCCTCAGATGAGCTGCTTTAACCAGGATGACAGCAGTTGCCTGCACACTCCTGTCTTTAGTTGTGATTTGGCCACAACGGAAGTTTACCTTGGAGGGTAGCCATAAGTCAATTCTTACACTGGAGACAAAGTTTACAGCCATACTCACATCCAAGTATTCATCCAGGCCTAATTTGGTAAATTCATACTGGAGGTGAACTCTGAAATTCATGTCTTCCACGGAATGAACTACAATATTAATAAACTGCATCGAGGCCACCTGAAACAAATTTACAAAGGGCTTAGATAGGCTTTAAACTTTTTATTTCTGTTTAAACATGGGCATACCTATTCCAATTCATACATTAAGGTTCATTTCTTGATTTCCTTCTTCTTCATTACATTGAGTCTTGAAAAATATTTTGTAATTTTTAAAGCTAGAAAAACTGCTAGGAGTCCCATAGCAAGGTACCTCTTCATTTCCAACAGCCTGGCTACAATAAAAAAAGAAATGTACTGACAAGTGTGGGCCAAGGGTGTGGAGGAAAGGAAATCCTCTTCCATGGCTGGAATATAAAACAGGGTAGCCACTTTGAGAGCTGGCCAATTTTTCAAAATATTAAACACTGAGTTACCATGCAGCCAGCAGTTCCCCTCTTAGCACATACCCAAAGAAGACAAAAACATATGTCCACATAAAAATCTACATATCTATGTTCAAAGCAGTATTATTCACAACAGTTTAAAGGTATAAAGAATTTCTATCAAGTGATGGATAAACAAAATGTGGTTCATTGATACAGTGGAAAATGATGCAATAAAAGAGAATTAAATACTGATTCACATTTTTTAAAAAAAGTAGGTAAACTTGAAAATATCTCAGATGGAAAAGTGAGATCCTCTACTGTCTGCATCCACTCATGAAATAGCAGAATAGGGCAAACTACAGGGCCAGAAAGTTTAGTGGTTGGAAGAATAAACGGGACATGACTGTTAGAGGGTACAAGGCTACTCTTGGGGTCATGGAATGCTCTAAATTAGACTGTGGTAATGCTAACACATACCTGTGGCTATACTAAACACACACTGAATTGTACACTTTAGATAGGTAAATTGCATGGCATGCTAGTTCTATCACACTACAGCTATTCTTAAAAAAGTCATATAGGTAAATGAACAAAGTGCACAAATTGTTACAGGCTTATTTAGTAAACTATGAAAATCATGACTAAGGAGAATATTTATATAGATCACCAACCATCTCACTACAAGGTTATATCTTTTCCAGATTCACTGTGTTTCTACCATACCCACATGGAGTACCCAATGTTGAATTCATCTTTGCATGCAGTAACCTCATTTACATTCCATCAAAGCTCTCCCCTGCAACTGCACCAATAGCCTGGATCTGCTGGAGAGAATACCTATCCATAAGTAGGTAAATAACACAAGAGGTCAATAGACCTATTTGTCTTTTGATAGGAACTGTCAGTTTGCCCAGCTTGAAAGGATCTTACTCAGTCTTTCTTCATGGATGTGAGCTAAGAGAGCCTCTGGTAAGGAAAAAAAAAAAAAGACTGACAGATTCCACTTCATACTGGCCCTGAAGACAACCTACTTATGCTTCTCTTTCCAAAACCCAATTTCCTTTACTTCAAAAACTACTTCCATCAGAGCCAGCATTGTGACATAGTATATAAGGCTGCTGCCTACAGCAGCAGTACCTCATGTGGAGCTAGTTCATGTCCCTCAGCTGCTCCACTTCCAACCCAGCTCACTGCTAGTGGTCTAGGAGAAAGGCAAAACTGACTAAGCTGTGGAGAATACAGCCAGCCAATTCTACAAACCAAACTGTCTTTAAGTCTTCGATAATATTGTCTGCAGAAGCCCCTGGACCACAAAAAGTAGAAAAAAATTCATATGGTTAAAATCTTTTTTAACATCATGATTTTGCTCTAGATACGTCAGTAGCTGAAGCTTGCAAGCAATTTTCAGTGTCAAATATGTGGCTTCCCCAATTAATTTGCTATAAATAATCAGAACGTTTAAGACCTCCTTTTGTATATAATGGATAGAGCAAGAAATAACTGCGACAAAGGGTAAAGAAAGATGAAGAGGGGCATTCAAGATGCAATTTACAGCACATTAAACTCAATTTCCTGTCCTTTGTAACACACACATACACATGAGTAGAGGTAGGAAAGAAGTGTTGAAATGAAGTTTGCTTTTTTGAATGAGGTCCTAAAATAACTCACCATAAAATCTATGTTATTGTCTTCATTCCTGAAATGTTCCATCAATTTCTCAAAGCGCTGTTTCTCTCCACAAACCTGAAACACACATTTTTGATGAGCATGTGACATTCCACACATAAACATTCCAAAATTAGATGCAGAAATTTCAACATTAATAATTATTTCCAGATTATCTCTTGTTTTCTTGTCTCATACACTATTTATTTCTGTTCTAAGCTAGTGAGCCCACAGTCACATGAACTGGCCCAAAAGTTGATTCTTGGTTCCTCTGAATCTTCTCTTGATATTTTGAAATGCATTTTTTTTTTAGCAAGTGTTCAAAATCTAAAAATGTAACTCACAATTTAAAAAGATGAACACATTTTCTTTTTCAAAAGTGCTACTGGGCCCAGCGTGATGGCCTAGTGGCTAAATTCTCGCTTGCATGTGCTGGGATCCCACTTAGGTACTGGTTTGTGTCCTGGCTGCTCCACTTCCCATCCAGCCAGCTCCCTGACTGTGGCCTGGGAAAGCAGCTGAGGATGGCCCAAAACCTTTGAACCCTGTGTCTCTGTGGAAGACCTAGAAGAAACTCCTGGCTCCTGGCTTTGGATCAAATAGCTATGACCATGTGGCCTCTTGGGAGGGAACCTGCAGATGGAAGATATTTCTGTCTTTCCTCTCTGTAAATCTGCCTTTCCAATAAAAATAAATAAATAAATAAATCTTTAAAAAAAAAAGTACCACTAAGTCATACTTACTAAAATATCTGGATAATTATTACTCCATTTACACTTACTAGACAAATTCAAAATGGTTATAATAGATTTACCTGAATCAAATAATTTCAATGCATAAACCGCAATACAGAAGTATACAGCATAGGTTAACCTACTAAACCTGAATACATAAATTTGCAGTACTTTTTGTAATAGCATCCTAGAACCCTGAAAAAACATCCATTTTAAATTAATATTTTCATTGAAATGTAAAGGGGCTGACACAGTGGTGTAGCGGGCCAATCTTCTGCCTTGTGTTGTCAGCACCCCTGTTCCAGCTCCTTGCTTATGACTTGGGTAAGCAGTGGAGGATGGTCCAAGTCTTAGGAACCCTACACCCTCATAAGAGACCTAGAAGATATTCTGCCTATCAGCACTGATCAGCTCAGCTCTGGTTGTTGCAGCCATTTGGAGAGTGAACCAGCGGATGGAAACTTCCTCTCTGTAAAATCTTTCTTTCAAATAAAAATAAATAAATCTTTAAAAAAAGAAAAGTAGAACAAACAGATAAAATACTGAGAACTCCAGGCTCCCCCACCCCAGTACTTGTGTACAAGTGGGATTAAAGACATGAAATTAAAAATAGACTCAATGATTTTTTTTTTACACCAAATTATAACTCTCTGGAGACTTATTCCAAAAATTAAAGGATAAACTTTAATTTGGTCAATGCCCATGGCTACCATTTTTGAAGCAAAGTATTATTACCACTGATTTATTTATTCTACCTTCAGGAATATTTGCTTGAATTACTCACAATGCTGTAGCGTAACTTCTCTGATTCCATGAGTGATCTTAGAAATACATCAACCCTCAAGAATTCTCCCAGAATAAATTTCCTAATGTTGTAATGTAGCCATTTAATAGTATGTTAAGTTCCATGTGAACACACACACACAGAGTCCCATGAAGACAGGAACTCCTATTTCCTTCCTCAGACTTTAGATCGATGCTTAGTGTGTTGTAAATTATCAGTAATATTAGTTGAATTGCACAGCTTAGAGGACAAGAGTAACTATGTTAAAATATATTTTTCAAAAGGATTAACACCTTATGAATATTCTCCTTATTTTACAGTAAAACAGGAACCATAAAGCCACTGTGAGCAAGCACTAGGAATAGAGTGGCAGCAGCTCTGAGCCTAGGAAGTTAAGGACCTTCTAATCTTACAACTCTTCAACAGTTCCAACAGATTAAGACCACAGACGATGCTGATGGTCACCCTCCATCAATCTATACACACTTTACCAGAAAATTTCAGAAGGCAGAAAGCCATCCAAGAGGAAGGAAGGAAGTTCTGAAGAGGAGAGTGTAAAGCAAAGCCCTTAAGAAACACACTTGTCCAATCCACCTTAGAAAAACTAATTCCATAGGGTGACACTGGGATGACATGAGCAGGTTCTACTTGAAAGACATTATGGGGTCAGCATGGAGAAACGGGTTAAGCTGCTTTGTGGGATGTGTGCATTTCAGATCAGAGCACTGGTTCCAGTCCTAGCTACTCTGCTTCAACTCCAACTTTCTGCAAATGCACATCCTGGGAGGCAGCCGATAAAGCAACATACTTGGGTTCCTGCCACCCACTTGGGAGACCTAGATGAAGTTCATGGTTGCTGGTTTTGGTCTGGTCCAGACTTAACTGTTGCAGACATCTGGGGAGTACTGGGGAATAAACCAATGGATGAAAGATCTTTCTCTTTTTCTCTTTCATTTACACTTCCCCTTAAAAACACTCTCCTTAAAAATACTACAGTCTGGGGCCAGTATGGTTGCAAGCATTCCATGTGTGTGCTGAACTGAGTTCTGGCTGCTCCACTTGCAATCCAGCACTCTGTGACCTAGGACAGCAGCGGAGCATGGATCAGGTTCTTGGGACCATGCACCTACATGGGAGACTTGGGGAAGGGAGGCTCCTAGCTCCCAGCTTCAGATCAATTCGGTTCACTAGAGCCATTTGGGGAGTGAGCCAGTGAATAGAAGCACTCTTTCTTTCTCTCTATAAAATCCACCTTTCAAATAAATAAATCTTCAAAAGTACAAAAATAATAAAATCATCACAGAGCACTGCTGTGCTACACAAAGGCCAAGAGCAGAGATTCAAGAGTATTCTATGTTCTCCTCCTGCTCACAGCGGGCCCTTCCAAAGATGTGAAGCAAATTCTAGCCAATGAATTTTTTTTTTTTTGAGAGGGTGAGGCAGTCTAGGCCCAGCTCCCTAGACTGTGAGGTGAGATAAGACACACCGTGTGCTGACAGGAGAATCTCAATGAGAAAACCTGCCAAGGCTTGACATGGAAAGGATCCAAAGAACAGCTGGAATTTTCTTGAGTCAGCAGACTTCCTTTCCACACCTGTTCTGTAAGCACCTGTTTTCCAGGAGTATATCTTGTTTCAGTCTTTTTTTTTTTACTGTTAGGATTTATGTTTTTATTGGGAAGGCAAATTTACAGTGAGGAGACACAGAGAAAAAAGATCTTCCATTTGATGTTTCACTCCACAAATGTTGACAATGGCAGAACTGAACTGACCTGAACCCAGGAACCAGGAATTTCTTCAGGGTCTCCCACAGAGGTGCAGGGTCCCAAGGCTTTGGGGTCATCCTCTACTGCTTTCCCAGGCCATGGGCAGAGAGCTGGATCAGAAACAGAATAGCTGGGACATGAGCCAGCATCATATAGGATATCAGGGTTGCAAGTGGAAGATTATTCAGTTGAGCTGTTGTGTTACCCCTTGCTTCAGTCTTGTCTGGGGAAGTTGGCAGTGGCAAAGGAGGAGAAGAGACCCTCTTGAATCTGGGGACAGCCACATGTTACTCTGTGACTAAAGTGAGCCCTAGGTACTTGCTGAACCAGAAGAAGTACACTTGTTCTTGTTCTTAGCCAAAGGGCTGGGAAGCAATGAACCAAAAGAAGCAAAGGCTGCTGAAAAGTGATGATGGACAGAGGCCCCTAGGAAGATGAAGCTAAGCATCTGATGCCCTTAACTTACAACTGAGATTGACACTCCAACAGATCATACTCCCAAACTAGACACATAGTCAACAGAACAGCACAGCCCACGCTAAAATCATGTCCTTACTAGCCAGCCGGCTGTCCACCCTCACATAACCCAGAATGCTCAACTATATCCCTCTATAGGCTGCAGTGAAACTGTTCCAGGATTAGCTGAGATACCAAAGATGAAAAAAAGCATTATTACAAATTAAAATAATGATCTTACACTCACATCACATCTGTGAACCACAATCTTCCATGTAACTTCTTCAAACAGCATATTCCTGGGGTCAATGCAGAGTGAGAATAATCTAAACAGAACTAGGAATTTGTGCTTTTAACAAATATTCCATGTAGGGTGAGCATGAGGCTAAGCAGTGAGGTTTCTGTTTTGGAACCCTGTATTCTCTATCTGAGTACCGTGGGTTCCAGTAGTGGCTCTGTTCTCAATTACAACTTCCTGTTAATATACCCCAGACAGTGAGTGACACTGCAAGTCCTTGCGATTCTACCACCCATAGAGAAGACCTGGATGGGGTTCCAGGCTCCTGGCTTCAGCCTGGTCCAATACAGGATGTTGGGACATTTGTGAAGTAAACTGATGGATGAAAGATCTCAATCTCTCTCTGACTTTCAAAATATACAAAACTTGTGGTTTTGAACCAACATGGGAAACCCATAAACTATACAAGATTGAAGGTTAAACCTTCAGCTTTTTCTACCAGTTGTAAACCAAAAAGCCACAGCATTAATTGTTCAACTCATTAAGAGTCCAACTGAGCAACAGAAATAAGCAAGCATGAATCACTATAGCTGGAAACTAAGACTGCTGCAGGAAATGGCCCACTGCCCTTGCACAAGAACAGATAACAAGGTAACTCACAAACAAGCAGTAATAGCAGCCAGGGTCTTAGAGAAAATTGATTTTACTTGAGGGGCCTTCGAGTAGTTCATCGAAAAATGGGATTAAAACATAGGACCATTTTGGTGCAAGCCATTTTTTTTAAATTCACGTTTTCTTTTTTTCATAGCATGCATTTTTTTGTGAACTTTCTGAAGATCTTCACATGACTATGCAAGGCACATGCAGATGATAACAAAACAAACGCTCACAGCCTGATACTAAAAAGAGCTGGCCTCAAATTCACTATAGACAACACTAGATTAGTCCCAGAAAACCTGTTATAACACTCATAGACAGGACTGAAATAGACATTAAGAGCAACTCTGAATATATGCATTTTTTTTAGCAATCCTTCATTCTGTCAACAGACAAATCTATGCTGGCAATGTGTTATGAAAAAGAAACCCTTTTCATTTTCAA